ATTTAAATCCTTTCACATTAGTAAGTAACAGAAACAATCGTTTTTCCCCATTTCGAAGATTACGCAACAATGCCGATAATCATATTTCGAGCTTGGGCTTCCTGTGGGTAATGTCACGTTAATGGGGTTAGTGCATTATTTAACTTCGATTTCCTACAGTCCGTGTAACGATTGAACATGTTAAAATTGATAACTTTGTTACTCTTTTAGTAAGAAAGGGTATTACTGTCATCACGTTCATGTTCCTTAGCAGTAATTATAGCATGAATACTTTGCTGGGTTAAGATAACCCAGGGTTAGTGCAAAGTTTGATCTCAAATATGAGACTTAAAAAGTAAATTCAGTTTAAATCACTTTGCATACACTTTGATGATTGGATGCTCTAAAAAGAATAGAGAGAATCATTCGAGAGAAAGCTTTTGATTAAAAGAAGAAGAAACGCGGGTTAAAATTTAACCCCCGGTTAGCGCTAACCGGCGTTCGAACAACTGGGCCCAGTTGTTCGATCGATGGAGTAACGACTGATAGGTACCTTAATCGCCACACACAATACAAGACTGATGTATTCAGACGTAAGTTGCCAGAGACTCCTCACTAAAGGCATCATTATTTGTCCTTAGCGGAGCAGACAGTACCAGGAACACCTGGTCCCAGTCCCCAAGACAGCAGCGCGGATCATATGGATAACAGCATTACTAACTCATCTCAACAGCATAATGGTAGGTACTTCCGCCCGCCTGCCCGCGGAAAAACCTTGATAGATAGCGCCGTATTCTGGGTGTTTCTTGGTGTGGCGGAAACTATTGTTGATTTGCTATTGTCATGGTGTGGGTGTTGTTCGGTGTCTTTTCGACCGGGGGGGGGGGACTCTGCATATGAAAGGGGTGGGGATGCTCGTCGTCTCGCTTAAAGGTGTAAATTTCGGATTTTGGCCTCACTTGGGGTGTTCTGGGCAAAACGTCATAATATTTAGCTTTAGGGTTGCACGCGAAAAAATATAAAAAATATATTGTCTGTGTCTTAACATGGTCTCCTTTAGGGGTCAAAAAAAGGTTGGGCCACGCCCAGATCGGTCTCCTTTAGGGATTTAATTCAAAATTTCCGACGAGCATCCCCACCCCTTTCATATGCGGAGCCCCCTCCCCGGGCTTTTCGATTCTTTGTATTTAATTACGTCACACTGGTGATTTCACCCGTCCGACACCAACACCAACAATAATACACCGTATTCTCTTCACAACGCCTTGATCTTATTAGCGCATATTACATTAGTATTTCCTGGACAGAAGGGCAAATTAGCAATAGAAAAGCACTGAGTTCCACTAATGAAGAAGCTTTAGCAAAATATTTCGTGTCCTAAGATACTTTCGGATTGGATGAACTGTGCACATGTCAAGAAAACTTATTAAGCTCCGATAAAAAGTCGCTTGTAAAAAAATACTGTTTAATTAGGATGTAACTTTTGGTAGTACAAGGACAGCTCCCTTTCGTTAACTCGCTTATCGAATTTATGTTTTCTGGTTTAGTGAAATTGTAAAACTAGACGACGTAGTGTATCGCTGTTTATAGTTTTTGAAAATGATTTTTCTCTTTTTGTTTTTCTTTAAGCGGTTTTCAGAGGAACTGACCAGGTACCGAGCTCAAACCCAGACTCTCCTCACCAGTCGTTAGGAGGATGTTCATTCGATAGTGATGGTGAGTTCAGTCATGTCAGCAAGGAGACAGCAGCCTTTTTTGTTGTACCTTCTAAGCATTGTAAAACTTAATTTCGTTGTCTCCTTTGTAGAAAGCGACGACGACAGCACATCGTCCGCTTGTGATGAAGCGGAGAAGGGACTTCAGCAACTGGAAAGACTGCTATTATCACTTGAGCCTTCTCTCTACTACTCAGATGGTTAGTATTGTAGAGTTACTTTACCCCACCCCCCTTAGAAGAAAAGTCTTGGTAGGCAATAGAGCCTCTCCTCTCCTCCAGGCCTGCGCGGTTTCTCAAACCTTGAAAAAACGTTTCGGTCCCGGATAGCTATTAAAAGTGCACAAAGTTCATAGTAGATGTGATTTTTTAATAAATTTCAAATGCGAAAACTTTACAAGGTCGAGAAGTATGTTGGCTTGCTTTGAGCAAAAACGCCCAAGGATCGTTAAAAAATGGATATGAAAAAAAGCCTTTTCTGGGCCTGAAAACTCTTCGGGAGCTTTTACAAATGCACTCCAGAAAAGTTATACATCTCACCCTCACAGAAAAATTACTGTGCCCCTCGTAACTTTGCGCCGGTAAACGAAAGTAAAGTGCATTCGATTACGCCAAAAATGTTTTGAAGAAATTACGGGACACGAAGCCATCTTTATAGATTTTCCATTGACCCTAGTAAACAATATGGAAAATATTGCGGTATTTTCGACATTGCAATCTATTTCTGTTATAGTGATCCTTGTCAATAAAACGCATGCTAGACGAGAGTAGATTTTTGACGTTTGTTCCTCTTTGTTTTGTGTCCCCGTATGAAATTATATATTTTAAACTGTTTGGAGAATTTAAACAGTCTTCTTCTTTTTTCTAGATGGAGGTCACCTGGTCAAAAACAGGTAAACTGAATATGTCACTTCATCCAGCAAGCGACCGCTGAATAACTTGCATTTCGTGTCTGTTCTGGTTTAAGTGTCTGAAGTTTTAGTCATTTTTGTCTGAAATCTGAACTTTTCAGAGAACAGCAAGGTGAAAAGTCGTTGCCAAAAACACTAAATAAGATGTCCACAATAGAAGAAGTAGACGTCAAGAAAACACTAGATGAAATTGCTAAAATAGAAGGTAATGTATGCTTCTTACGTGGCCTTTTTTTAAACTTTTCACTGAAAAACATGTAGTCCGATCAATCATTCAACAAAAAACAGCCCAGCTTACTAGCTATTAGACCCAAGTTACTGAAGTCCTTCGCGTCCAGACTCTTCAGTTCAGGATTGTTTGCGACCTTCGACTTGCCACCAAGTTTAACTGTGAGCCAGCCTCCTTTAATAGTCCAGTTTCGAATTCGTCGCGACCGCTGAATAGGAGCACTGAAGACTCGTATATACGGGGTTAGCCTCGACCTAAGGTCAATATATTCACAAATTCCAGTCAGAAGAAGACCTGTGTACAACTGTGTCTTTTGTTTTTACTGCTCAAATTCAGCCACCTTCTCACTGGTATTTTTGAATCAGTTTTACCTTAGGTCGAGGCTAACCTTTTCGCGCTTTCATTTAGCGGCCACGACGAATTCAAAACCGGACTATTGACAAGACGATCATGGCATTCGACATACCCGTTTCAAATGAAAAAATTATCAGGCAAAACGTATTAAATGAAGACCAGCTGAACATCCTCTCCAAACAATCGTATTCCCAGACCTGTATTAAACTAAATCATAGATCTCTGGCGACGAAGTCATGAGGCAAGAGCCTGAGCAAGACACTGATTTTTAATACAGTAAAAACCCGCGGCTAAGAACCTGTTAGGCCGTAAAATTTGACAGTTAGGCTCCCTCTATACAACATCCTGTTTAGCCTAGAATTTGAAACAGGTTCTTATTTTCTAAAATCTATATTATAAAAAAATTCGGTACAATTGGACAAATAAGGTAAGCCAACATTTAGGATCCTCTTGGGAAACATAAGCGGCTTATCACTCCAACTGCAATGTAATGGTATGCAGATTTTATATATAAGGAATAATCCGAATACTAATACCACTAAATGGTTTCCTTTTAGCTGCAATGTATTTTTTCTTCAGAGAATTGGAACCCATTTAAGAACCTAAATAGACTAAATTTTTGCTAATTACAATTTATGTAATAACCTGTTTGGTGAACTTGGGAAAATGTAGATTTTTAGTTGCGGGTTTTTACTGTATCACACCTCTGGGAAATATTACGCGGGTTTCAGTAGTGTTCTTTACAGGCCGCGGTGCATTACTTTGAACGGTTGTGTAGCAGACTAAGATGTTACTTATACTAACCAAACAAAGACTTGGAAGTTATAATATAAGTTGAATAGTTTTTAACAGACAAGGAAACACTCCAGCTCTTTACCCAAAACATTTGAAATGAGTGCACGCGTATACCCATATCTTGTTAAGTCTATAATCGACCTTTAGCGTCGGTGTGTTTGTGATCTTTTTCATGACTGTTTTATCTCTTTTCTAGGGGCCATAGCTGATCTGAATTCATTTGTATCATTAGAAATGGAGCAATTATAACATATGTAAATAGCCATAATAATCAAACCGATGGAGTTTTAATAACGTTTAAACGAATTGTCAGAATTGTATAATGTTTTCAATTGATTTTTCGAAAAATGAACCGATGATTTTTTTAAGTGCTGTACAAACGTACTTTTTCTTGTAAGACTTGATAAACTTGAAATTGAGTGATTTTGTGATATAATCGTACACCTCATTCAAAAATGTTGTAATATTCTGTGCTAAGTAGCCCTCATAATCTCGATTGCATCTGCAAAATCAAAATACAACTTTTACCTTGAAACGAGGTATTAAGCCGGGCCATTTATCATGAAAAAAAAAAAAAGAATAACTAAATTTTCCACCATTTTGAGTAAGGTGTATTGCCCTGCTGTCTATAAAACCTTCTCAGTCAGGTCGTGTTTTGTCTTTATTATCTTTTTATTGTGGATTTTGTTTTTTTTGTGTGTGTGTTTGTTTCTCTTAATAAGTATATTTAACAAATAGACATCAATTTTCTGTTGTCTATGATAAAAATGGCATGCAAATGTTCAAAGCTGTAGTCGAACCACGAGCATGCGTGGTTGTACCACGACTTGAATTGCATTTTCCTCACCCGAAAAACGAAGTGTCCCAAACGTTTTGAACAGTATTGTAGTTGGAATGATTGCGATTAGGTGGTTTGAAATGGTGCGAATTAAGCTTAGAAATGACGTTTTCACTGCCGTCGCCCGCATGTACCCTATTTATTCGATTAACCGCCCTGGGCGCTTATTAAATTTTTGGACCTTGAGAGTGGGCGCTTATTCGAGGCTGGGCGCTTATTAAGTTTTCACCATTTTTAGCAAGTGAAGTATGTTCATTTTGCAACAAAGCAATAAATGCTAATAACAAAACGAGAAGAAGTAACAAAGCAAGGTTTCTGTAAAATACTCTGAACAAAACTCCGTCCTCGGGGAAGTCTCTTAATAGAATTTACTCACTCAAGTGGGTGGTGTGGGGGGTGAACGCTTATTTGAGTTTGATTGGGAGGAGGAGGGATGGGCGCTTATTCGAGGCTGGGCGCTTATTAACTTTTTTTTTGCCTTTAGGATGGGCGCTTATTCGAGGTGGACGGTAATTCGAGGTTGGGCGCTTATTCGAATAAATACGGTACTAAAAAATTAACCTTGAACACCGGAACACGCCCGTACACCTGGAAATGGATGAAACAAACAGAAAAAGTTTTCCATATGTGCTTTTCATTTTGGCTATTGCCATATTTTCGGGGTGGTGTTCCGGCTTAGAACATGCCGACGTCGCCATCATCGTTGCTTTACCCTTCAAACCATAAGATCAAAATTTGAATTCTCATTTGTTGCCCCTATTCATTTCCTACAGAAGTAGTGGGGGTGAAGTTGATAAAATATCAAGTAAATTCATCTTGTGTGATCATGTCCGTAATTCTCATGACCACTGCATTTTACAAAGCATTGATATTACAAGGAGAAATTTGATGCTGATCACTCTTAGGGCTTAAAGGGTTAAGGGGAATGACTGTCAATATTAGGAAGAACAAGACTTCTGAGTGAACGAAATGTACAAAACTATTTACAATTAACAAGAGTTTATAAATGTGAGTATTGTGAAAAGAAAACTTTGTTTAAAAACTTTTTTCGTCTTGCTTTCTTTGCTTTCCAACTCGGCTGGCAATCTTTCTGGCCTTCTTTTATAGGCACTTCCGAGTAAACGAGTATTGTCCTCAGCGTTAGACAGCGCCACGTTACCTCTTGACATAAAACAGTGCCTGTGTGTTCTTCCTCATCGTTGCCTTTTCGTCACCCAACAATTTTACCTCATAATTTCACCTCGTCAAAGGTTGTTTACCATTTATAAAAAAATTCCGGAAATTTTGGTTGGAAATTTTCGTCCGGTAAGAACGGTACGTGTCGTTTACCATTTGCCTAAAATTTCCGAATTGCCGCGCCGAGCTAGACTGGATTCTAGTTTCAACATGAAACTAGACAGTGCGAATCTCAAGAAACTTGTAAATGGTAAATAACGAATTTCCATTCGGAACGTCCCAACAGGAAAAACGGGACTACCTTTTCAGAATTTCTGTTTGTCCCGGGAATTTTCCAGTGGAACGAACCAAAAAAAAAACGTTTACCATTTACATCCCAACAGGAATGGTAAACAACCAATTTCTTTACAGTATTAGCCAATTATGTCGATAGCATGTTTATTAACTGTTTTTATGACCCTTAAAACATAGTTTCAAAATATTTCCAAAACGCCGTCATATAATTTGTTCAAGCTTTGCCATAATCCAGGTAATTAGGGGAGGTACACGCTCCCTTAAGCGAGTTCTGAAAAAAAAACACCTGGTACCGAGAAATTCAAAGGCAAGTAAAAAACGTAATGGTGTCATTACGTTCCCATGGCAACTCCGATGTCAATAAAGCATACATCATGGAAAATTTTCATCTTTGTATAGTACAGCTGTGGTAATCTTAAACCGATATCCTCGTTTACGCTGACGTACTTAACGCTCAAAGTGAGGAAATATACTCCCTAAAAAATCCAGTTGAGCCACCTTAAAGCATAATCTTGGATAGCGCTCCTGCACTGGAGTTCTGTTAATCTCGTCAAAAAAAAGGAACAAGCAAGGCAGAAAAGTTTATGTTTTTGCAGTTTAAGACAATGAAACTACAAAAAAACCGGTATGTCATGGAAAATTTCATGTCCTGAGAAACATCAAAGTCATGATAGCGAATCTCATAGCATAACTAAAGTTTATTACAATGTGCGATTATTACAATTTGCAAAAGCTTAGTTTATTACAAAGTGCGACTCTTAGACAGCTATATTGCAACAACTAGTTTCATTACGAAGTGTGATACAGCATGTTACAAACTGGCGACGGGTAAATCCTGAAAGTGTAACTGACTTATAAAAATTGCCACACGTATTACAAAATGCGATGATTATTACCAATTGCGACGGTCTGGTGCAAATGTATTCATTAAACTTTTAAAGTAATCTTGATACAAACTTTCTCAGTTCTTTCTGACGCATACAATAAATCAATGGATTTACAAGAGAGTTTAACATACCAGCCGTGCGAACCATGAGAGTCAGACGCTCCACCAGTTCGGTGTCATAAAGAAGTTTTTTATTTCCTCTCGACGACAATGTTGTTAACAGCTGATACACGGCCATCGGTAGAAAACACAGCACCACGGCACCTACAACAAGTACAGTTGTCTTCAGCGCTTTGTTTTCTTTAACGAATCTTTCAATTTCCTGTTGTGGAAGCTGCTGAGTTCTGATTTTCTTTCGGTGACGAAGAGTTTCAAGATACAAAATAATGTAAGCTACTACAATAAAAACAACACTAAAAGATATCGCAAGAAAATGCAAAGTTTTCATTACATACCTTGAAATATCATATTTTATATACCTCAATCCGCTAATGATGAAAGAAAAGAACCATGATAAAACGACCGATACCTTAATATTTCGCCTTGTGGCTATGTATAAATAATGGTTTGTATATTTAATCGCCAACAGCCTCTCGCAATTTACTAACATTAAATGGAGTGATGAACTTATGATAAAAGCACGAAAAAAAATTTTTGTGAACCTCTTTGACTGCAGTAAAGTTGATGTTTTTAAGAACATTCAAAGTTTTCCAAACAACGAATGATGGTTGCGCTATGAGACCAGTCAACAAATCAGTTACCGCTAAACAGGAAAGCAGGATGTTTGTGTTGCTCTGTAGGCTTGGTCGCCTCTTTACCACCAGGATGACCAACACGTTTAACAGAACGGTGAAGGGACAAGCGATGCCGTTGATAATAATGTGGCCAACGGTCAAAATATAGTTGACTTGGACGCTTTGTGTCTCGTTTTCCATGGAGGCAACATTCAAAATGGTGTTGGTGGTATTAATTTTGTAAATTGAAATTAGAATGGGTGGCTATACGGGAGACTTCCTGAAGCAGCTGTTTCTCTGAATTATTGTTAATGACGATGATAAACCAATGATTCTTGCTCTTCCTTTCTTAGGAAGAACAGCCACTTCAGTTTGATCCGATCCTATGTTATTCTGAAAATGTGAAACCAAAATGAGTGACAAAGTTTGATCAGGAAACGTTATGACGACCTTTTTCAACTCAGCCGACCACTGAATCAACAGTGAGAACTTATGATAAGAAATTTTGTTGGTTTTGGTCAGCACCGGGACGGTGCGGCAACTCAATTTATGCATTTTCTGTCTCTTTTTAGGAAATAAATTAATATTGACTACGCATCTTTTCTCATTTTATTCCCTTAAGTTTTCGAATTATTGTTTTACCTTTCTTGTCTTTTTGATCCGAGCACGTGGGCTCAGTCACTCATTTTTTTATCGATTTTCTCGCCCATTTTATGGAAACATTGAATATTTTTCAATATATATTAACTTAACAGCTGTATTCGCCGTTTTGTATTAGTGTCCAAATTGTATTTGCATTAAACGTGTGTACGTGTGCCTTTTCGATGTATACCGGGGTATAACTTATGTCTACATGATCAAAACGACTGATGGCAGCATCCTCGTTTTGCCTGCGTATTGTTTCACGAAAAACCTAATGGTTAAGGGGGACATCTAACCCTAGGTTTGCCTTAGATAGTTCGACTTCATAATTCGTAATTCAAAAGCTTTCTTGCAAATAAATTAAGAGGCAAAGGATCATCCATTCTTTAAACGTCCTCGCTTATGACTTCAAGGCGTTTGATCATCGTTATAAAAAAATAAATCATGCATAAAATCTATTGGTATGATTTTTCATAAACAAACAAAAACGTTCTGTGGGAAAAAAGGCAACGCAATTTTTAAGCCGGGGGAAAACGTTTCGGTCAGAGGGAAAAGCATTAGCATACCAATAAATTGTTACGGATACGATATATTTGATATTAGTAAAATACAGCTAGTGGTCTATTATCATGCTGCCAGGCGTTCTGATTGGTTGAGCTACTACTAGGCTATATGTTATAGCCCACTGGTAGCGAAAAGCGCCGATAATTTGGTAGGCAAAAAATGATTAAAGTCTAGCTTTAGCTAGCTAAAGTTGTTTTGTCTAGATATTTTTTACCAACTAGTTGGATTTTACTAAAACAATTTTTCCTCTCGCCTTCGCCCTCATGGGCTATTGACTCATAGCCGATGAGGGCTCAAGGAATAATTATTAAATAGCCTCCCACGCAGACGTTCTTAGCCGGGGAGGATGTGTGTTTCGAGCCAAAAGATTGTCTACGTGGGAGGCTAGGGTTATATTATGAACAAGGACGGAAGAATACTTAGTACGTAATTATTCAATGAGGCTGAGTGCAACTTCCGAGTAGTTGTGGGCTTAGTATCCTAGCCTATGAGAAGACGTCAGGCTAGGGTTGACCTTGTTTTGATACAAACCTCTTTCCTTTTCTTATGGAAATTATTCTGAAAAATTGGCGGTTAGCATGCGAAAAACCTGATTTACATGATAAAGCAAGAAGGTTTGTATCAAAACAAGGTCAACACCAGTCTCGTTTTCACCTGTAACTGTCACAGGGTGAAATAAGGCGTTTCCGTATTTCGGAAATCTTGCGGAAATCTGATGGTTCAAGTTTCCGTCACATTTCCGGAGGGCGGAAACACGTAAGAGCAAAATGAGGTCGCGTTTCGCGTTTCCGCAGCGTTTCCGCAGCGTTTCCGTTGGCTGAAATGTACAAGGCCGTATCAGTCGCGTTTCCGCAGACAATTTTCTGCGGAAATTTGGTAGCTTTTATCTTCGGTTGATTTAATTTTAAGTAGGCGATGTGCTGCCAAGGATTTCTCGGCAACAGCACTATTTTTAATATTTTTCATATAATAAAATTTGTTTTAACTGTACTGATTACGCTTCAGGCAAGATGAGGAATCATTGCATTGACCTAAAATATCCGAAAGAACAGAGATAATCGCCTGCGCTAAACTACACGTCGTAAATACTGGAAAAGTGATAGATGATTCTCTCTGTCTTCCTTTTTCAGAGATTCAAAGATGTGTCATTAAAATTACTAGCGCTCCAAACATTGACGCGTAATTTGAAACAATTTAGAAACAGCCAAATAAATTATAACGCTTGCACGCATTTTGCCTCGCTCTGGGGGCGCGAGTGTTACGAGCATGCGTGCCTCGTTTTCACGTTGGATTTTGAATCGCGCGCCCTTTTGAACATTCTTCGCTGTCGGTTCGCCTTCCATTTTGGTGGTTTGTTCATGCAGGACCATTTTTTTGTCAAGATAAGCGAGGAGAGTGTGATAGATTGCGGAGATAGACTGCAGAGAGAAATAATACTTCGAAAAACTATTTAAACGAAACGCCAAATCCCATGGAAGCGGTGATGAAGGAGTTCAGTGTTCACTCTTCGCGACTCGAATGCACCCTGAGTGTTTCAACCATCATTGAGAAGAAAGAACGCTTATTTTAAACTGTGGATCCTTGTTGTTTCGTAAGTACATTCTGAATCTTGTTTAAATATATAGAGGCATATTTAAGTCTATGTAATAGCTTTGGGAGCATTTCATCGATGTCGATCATAAAAATCGTTTCACATGTGAGCTTCATGCGACAGCGAGTTGCTTCGTACAGATCTGACCTTTGTATGTTGCCTGTAGTTTCTTTGATAGCATATGCCTGTAAAGCACGTCTTTGTCTGATTTCTTTTACAATAAAGACATAGTTGCTGCATGCACATTTTAATGGCGAAGATGGCAGCCGTAAAATACTTAATCTGAAATGAGGAAACGGAATCACGGAACGGAGTACGGAATCCAATAGCAATGACAGAAAAATATTATATAAAAATTCCTTGACACTGAAATGTACAAAACATTTCCACTCCAATTTCTGAGACTGTAGATGTTTATCACAAGGATAAACCTGTACAAAAATAATATGTTCATATTAATTTTTTGCAGACAACGTGCATTTCCTTACTACCGATGGGAATTGTTCAAAATTGAAATAAATGTAGTGCTTGTTACGAGACTTGTAGTGTTAAAAGGAACCTTTTCTCTTTGTGTACATGCACAATAACAAGTTTAATATGATGGTGCAGAAAGGTTCTAAAAGTCACAAGATTGTAGAGGGATATCATTTCCTTACACTTCAATTTGTCGTTAAGCTTCGAACACAAGGATAACAGCTTTATTTGATGACAAAGCAACCTTCATTGACACAAGTAAGACGCCCATCTTTGAGTGGGAAGTTGCAATTCTATTTATCCATCTTTGAGTGGACAAAGTAGTGCTTGTGTCAATGATATTTCAAATGTTGCAACAGTCACCAGGAGATAGACAAGAATACTAGTCAGGAATATAATAATTATTTCTTTACACTTCAATTTGTTGTTAAGCTTCGAACACAAGGATAACAGCTTTAATCGATGACAAAGCAACCTTCATTGACACAAGTAAGATGCCCATCTTTGAGTGGGAAGTTGCAATTCTATTTATCCATCTTTGAGTGGACAAAGTAGTGCTTGTGTCAATGATATTTCAAATGTTGCAACAAGAAGATTTTTCAGAAATATAATTTCCTTACACTTCAATTTGTCGTTAAGCTTCGAACACAAGGATAACAGCTTTATTCGGTGACAAAGCAACCTTCATTGACACAAGTAAGACGCCCATCTTTGAGTGGGAAGTTGCAATTCTATTTATCCATCTTTGAGTGGACAAAGTAGTGCTTGTGTCAATGATGTTTCAAATGTTGCAACAGTCACCAGGAGATAAACAAGAATATTATTCAGGAATATAATTTCCTTACACTTCAATTTGTTGTTAAGCTTCGAACACAAGGATAACAGCTTTATTCGATGACAAAGCAACCTTCATTGACACAAGTAAGACGCCCATCTTTGAGTGGGAAGTTGCAATTCTATTTATCCATCTTTGAGTGGACAAAGTAGTGCTTGTGTCAATGATATTTCAAATGTTGCAACAGTCACCAGGAGATAAACAAGAATACTAGTCAGGAATTTTATAATTATTTCTTTACACTTCAATTTGTTGTTAAGCTTTGAAAACAAGGATAAAAGCTTTATTCGATGACAAAGCAACCTTCACTGACTCAAGTAAGGTGCCCATCTTTAAGTGGGAAGTTGGAATTATTCTATTTATCCTTCTTTGAGTGGACAAAATGGTGCTTGTGTTAATGATACTTTCAATTTTTACAAATGCCACAAGGAGATCAACTTGATGATTACACAGTTTTTTTATATTGTTACACTTTAATTTTGTTTTGTGCCTCAAGCACTTGGATAACGGCTTTATTCGATGATAAAAGCAACCATCATTTTTTAAATATTTTTCATTGTAATGCACTACCAGAAAACTGCCTGATTTTAAGCTCTCTAGTTTTTTTAGAACGAGGCTGTTACGATACATGTAATACATGTATTATTATTTTGATATAAATATTTGACATTTTTTTTTGTCTTTATTTCTTTGAGGTATACTGATGTGGAGAACAAAAACATTGAGGGTATTTTGGTTAATGAAGTGAGGGGAATTTTGGGTAAAAGAAATGGCCCAAAACAGAGATAAAAGGTAAGTTGTACACTTTTCTAAGTTTCTTGAATTTCTTACAGTGAAACCCCGCCTTTACAGCCACCTCGGTAATACAGTCACCTTGTTATTACGGCCACTTTTTTTGGCCGCCTGGCAAAACCACCATACATTTTCTTGTAAACAAACCCTCATTAATACCGTCACCCCATTAATACGGCAAAACTTTTTGGCCCATTGATGACCATGTTAACGGGGTTCCACTGTAGTTTCTTGGTGTTGCCGACAAGTGTAATCCCCAATGACATAAATACAAAAGATGGAAAAGCCACTAAATAATACCCACACCAAAAACAGGAGCAAACCACAATACTTTTAGCAACACCAAGAAGCACTCTTAATTCCTTTTCTACAGACCTGCACATTTAACATGCTTTCCTTTTGCTAGGGGCCATTTTTCAGCACTGGAGTCAGAGAAGTACCCGTGCAGATGTGGTAAGGCAGTAAAATGGAAAACTTGAAGAACACAGAGTTCAGACAAGATTCCAATTTGAGAGCTAAAAGGTAGGTAAAATACATGTACATTATTTTGTTAATGCTTGCAGTGCAAATATTTTTACTGTGTAGTTTAAGTCATCCACTTAGTGATTTATTTAGCCTGTCCTGCAACAGAGCTGTGCTTTGGCAGTGCCTGGTGGCCCCTGTTGCATTACTGTTGCTCTTGGGCGACAAGGAAGTCTTAGTTTGTTCAAACACATTCATCCTGGGTACCTGGATCTTTCAGGTTAAGGGCACAAGGCTCTTTCATTTTTTGAAGAACACAACACATGTTTTGCACGTTTGTATTATGCATACATAATTAATGATTGTTATAGAATGCACTAGGGCCACACCCTACCCCCTTTGACATTTTTAATATTAACAGTGTCCTTTCCATTTATATGCAAGGTTTGATTGTAGTGTAAATTGCTCAGAGTAAAGAGCAAGAACCAAATCTAAAGATTCAAAATAGTTAGGGTGACTATTTTACCAGACTAAACTGTTACTGAAGAACGTAAATGTTAATTAAATGTTTATCATAGTAGTCATGCCACTGTGACTAAATAAGTTTTTTTGGTGTTCAGAAATTGACGAATCACACAGAGGTGTTGGACAAGGCACAACTTTCTCCAGATGACAAAGCCAAAATAAAGGCTTTATTAGACCTACACAATGCTATCCAATTTATGTCTTTGGAGGAGAGTGAAGACAATGAAGAGAGGGCCAATGATCCACAACCCAGGTACATCAGGCCACTATGCTCAGAGAGGTCAAAGCTAAGAAACATCAATGCTGTTCTTGACGCCTTTTGTGAGGCTTGCATGTCAAAGAGGCAGACTTGTCAGACAGACCAGTACCAACTAACTGCCCTTCATGGGCAGGATGCCAATAATATCAAAGTAACAAATTGCTACAGTGATCGCTACTATGGCAACTGGGAGTAATAAGTCCAAAAATGACGCCGTGTGCGTGATGTCCAGAAAAATAATGAGCTTTAGCCGAAGCACAAAATGTGATGGCTTGTACATGAGTATAAAATTCTACTTTTCCCCTATTTTTCACTGGTTTAAAACCTAGCATTTTTTTTCTCTTAATCAAGAAGGTATTCGACCCTTCTAGTTCTAGTTCACTGGGCAATAATTCAGTCTTCCCTGCGTTTTACTGACAACGAAACCAAATGAGCGAAAAGCCCTGTAGTGACTTTTGGGTGCCACTTGCATAAAGTTGAAATTTGACGGGCAACAGTAACATACTCTCTTCAGGACTGTAACCACGACCACCATAGTAGAGGTCACTGTAGCAATTTGCTTAAAGTCCCTAATGTATTATTGTGCCTTTAGTCAGGATGATCCTGTGATGATCAACTCTAACTAAATTGCACAATCTTATTGGAAAGTAGCCTCCCACGCAGTCGTTTTTAGGTGAGCTCGTATTTCTTCCCTCCTCACAAACGCCTGCTCAACTGAAGACAACATTCCTTTCCCAAGCTTAGCCAATCACATTGTACTTTCCAAATTCTGGAAAGTTGACCTTGACCGCAAGGTAATCTGATAATTACTCGATCTGCATTAAACACTGGGAAAGCTTTCTGACCTGCAATAAATGTTAGATTCAGAGCGGCAAAAATAAGATTTAGTCAAAATTCAGAATACTCCGTGCACTGCATAACCTTAGTGAAGGAAAGAAAAGAAGGAAAACGGTAACTCTAGGGTCACGTTCAGTCGTGTTTAGCCTGTCAACACTTTATTGCACAATTGTTGATTGGTCACTTACCACGCAAATAAAACAATGAGAAAGGAATGTTGTTTTCCGTTGAGCAGGCGTTTGTGGGGAGGGAAGAAATACGAGCTCCCCTAAAAACGCCTGCGTGGGAGGGTAATTGAAAGGTGATAAGAGTTTTATTCTAAAAGTCAATCTTTACTCGACTGTGTTCATTAAAATTGCTGAAATTACAGGACAGTCAATGGATTATCCTAAAACTATAAAACAGGGAGTGTAAGATAGATGCATTGTGAAAGTGAGTCGCTTGTTAAAAGTGTGCAGTTTGTCATTACTATTCAAACTCAGATGTAGGCAAATTCTCGTAGACTACTTTGTATGCCACAGCCAGGTCCAAGTTGTAGCCATGCACTTACAGCAGAGTGGCGACAATAAGTGAGATACATGTGTAGAGATGTTGGCTTATACATTTGTATATAAAGCCTATGGCTAGTTTTGTTTGCATCACTATCGTCGTTGTAGCATCAGCCTGATACTCCCCAATAATGGCCTCTCATCAGTTTGTGTAGGCTTTAACAATAATTTTTGGGGATGATCCACCAAGTACTGGTACTTGCTAATAAGAATTAAGGCAGCAGTTTAGATTTCCTAATGCGATTTTATGCAGTCTTACATGTAACTAAGTAAGACTTTCATTTGTAATAATATTATTTTTCTTATTAAATTATGTAATAATTTTGCCGTGAACTTCTTCTTTGAGTTATTTTGGAATGGAAATGCACGTTACTTATAATAATGTCAAACCTCTTTAATACGGACACTAAAGGGACAGAACCAAGTGTCCGCTTTATAGAGGTGTCTATATTACAGAGGTAGGGATTGCATGATTTTTGGCTTTTCTGGGACCAAACGAACTGTCCGTCGTATAGAAGTGTCCATAAGAAGAGGTTAGACTGTATAATTATTATGTTAATCTAATCATTTCAAGGAAAAAATTTTGAATTTTGTCAATTCTAAAAGGATTATTTAATAGGCCATTTCCGAGTTCCCAGGGCCTGTGTTTCAAAACGAGGTTAAGTGCTCAGCCTTTGATATGGAAATCATTTTTCATTCTCGTGCAAGTAAAACTCATTTCACAAGAAAGGTTGCGCACCTCGCCTCATTTTGAAAGTGAGGGTTTTTGGAACTTGGAAGTGGCCTATTGAAATTGAAAAGTTACAGTTTTGGATATAGAAAATAGGAATACATTGTAAGGAGTCTCTTTTTATTGTGAAAATATTTAATATACATATGTACATATTATATGAAAATGGAGATAGAATTATTTTAATAAAAACTTTAATACCAAAATGCACCTAAATATGACTCAGCTTGATTTGTGTGTATCAGCGAAAATGGGTCATTGTGGATGCATGAAACGGTCCAGGGTTGTCTCACAAACGTCCACTTTTTTATATACCGGATAGAATGAACATATGATTCGAAACTGGGTGGTTAAGGAAAGTTAACACATTTAGGAAATCCAGTGAATAATCCACCGAAAGCGGAATATGTGGAAACATGAAGGCTGCAGAAAGTAAACCGGTCAAACTGAGTTTCCGCATTCATTGTTCCGGAAACTCAACGGATAATTGAGTATCCTCTGAATTTACGAGCTGCGGAAACATGACGGCAGTTAGCGTTTCCGCAAGAGTAAACCTGACGGAAACGCGAGTATAAGGGATGCGTTTAAGCGTGTCCGCAGAAACTGAAACATGACGGATACACGTGTTCCCCGTTACAATTCCGTCCGCGGATATTCAGGTTTCCGTTAGATAACCGTTACAAAAACGGAAACGGAAACACCTTTTTTCAACCTGTGTGTAAAATGGGCTATTCCTCAGATCATAACAAAACCGATTCGGACCATTATACCGCCTACCTACCCCTCCCCTAAGCCAACATTAACACTTACTTCTCACTTAGCGTAATGTTGGCTTAGGGGAAGGGTAGGTGGGCAGTTTCCCAGAAACGTATGATAATTAACCGATTCAATAATTGTTCTATTATTCATTTCAAAGAATTCATACTTAAAAAACTTGCTTACTTCGATCAATGTAAAAAACCTGTCTTGATTTGCCTGTTACGTCCGGGGCAAATTCTGGACTTAAAGGGATGTTTGTAGTGAGTCTTGAGTCAGCTACCAGATATTCTTTAAATGGCAGTTGTCATCCGTCGAGTTGTATTATTTTTTGCTGGTCTTGCTATATTTTTTAAGCAGTAGTTCGGTCTAGTTCGGCTAATCATCTTAGCAAAACGAGTGACATTTTCCGCCATTTTTTCTAGCTCAATACTAAAGCAGCTGAGCTAAAGCAACCCTTTCTCCAGGGCTTCTCCGTTACTATGCCTTTTTCTGCAGTTAAGTAATCCTGCTCCGTTTGATGTCATTTTCATCGAATATCGCATCGTCGTCCAAATTTGAACAATGCTAGCTGGTTATGAAGACATTTGAGCCAATCAGAAGCGGAGAAATATTCTAAATGAATAACAATGGTATTTATGTTTTATGGATGCTATAGCGCAAGTACGAACGATTAGATTGTATTCTGTTTGATAGGCCGTTTGACCGATGACATCATTTTACTACTACTACCAGAATCCTTCAGGGTTTTGCTTTCTTGTGCATATTAGGGGCCGACCATTTAACTCTTGAGGGTGGGGGTGGGTGTTTTCTGGTCATCAAGAATTTTTTTTTCTAGCAATATGGTGGGCAGGATATTTTTTTCCCTTTTTTTCCCATAAGCTCTCTATTACATTTGTGCTGCATGCATTTTTTTTCTTCCGACAAGCGCTTGCGGAAATTTTTTGTCAAAATCGTTATCGGGCAAATAGCCTATTGACTTTTTTATATCTCTAAGTTCTAGGGTTGAAATCTATTCGGCAAGATGGAAATTCATGCTGATTTCTGACCAGGCCAAACACTTAGTAAAAAATTGTTTGAAGGCGGGGGCTGTATGTCTCCTCTTCAACCGCTGGTTTACATGCGGGATTTTGAATAAATCGACTGTCTATGAGTCGCGAAAAGTTCCATGTGACGATTTACGTGGAGAAAGCGAGAGTTTTACGGAGTAATTTGACGATGTTTTGCCCTGTTGAGTGTGGAAGTATTATGAGTGGTTTTCGAAAGTGTTGGGATTGCCGCGAAAGTCATTTATTGTGTGATTTACCGAAAGTGTTGACAGACAAGGCAGACAAATCTCAGGTATGTGCGGTTGAGCTCGTGTTACCAGAATACTTTGTGCCAAGCATAAAAACGCTTCGTGAGTGTTTAGTTTAGGTGATTTCTCTTAGAAAGCCTATTATGTGCTTAAAGATTGTGGATTCTTAATCTGTTTTCGGCCGACACTGAGCTGTGGGCCTCACGGTTTGACTGACTAAAAGATTACAATTTCTGGGCGTTGCAAGGGTTGTTTATTTCATCGCAAAATCCTGTTACTTCTGCGAGAGAACTTTACCGTCTATTGCCAGCAATAATGCTGTCATTGTTTAGCTTCAGCTAGTGACTTTTAACTACTTCCCATTCCACTCAGATGTCAAATAGTTAAAATGAACTTGAAATTTCTTTAGCCACGTTTTAACAAATCCAGTCAGATGTAAATAGCGAAAATAATCAAACCGATACAGTTTTAATAACGTTTAACCAAATTAAAAAGAAAAACGAAGACTCTGAGTGCGTCTATCGCACTTTCTGGGTATATTTTCTTTTCTGTCACGGCATGACTGCGCTAATATGACAACGTTTCATGGAGGATGCATGTAAAATTTACTCTCTGTTTTTCAGTCTAAACTTGCTTGGGGTCCGTAAAATTTCGATTCCACGAGAATTCCCCGGGCGTTTGACAAAAGATAAATTGAGCAGTTGGGATAATTGCCATTAAAGGCATTTGAAATAGTGCTAAGCAAAATGAATGATCGTCAAGACTAGGAACTGGGAAGACCTGTCCGGACAGACCAGGTTCATGACTCTGTAAGGACGAAGTGTCTATAGCTGTGTAATGTTTAATATAGATTTAGCCAGGGCTAAAAGCGATGCTTCCGTTTTAATACTTATAATAAAAACAATTAAATTTAAACTAACAAACTGTAAGTTTCAAATCCCTACTTAACTTTAGGAGCCTTCTGCATCTCTTTACCTTTTGAGGGAAAAAACTCTCACAGCAAGCGAAAAAAGTCGCATGTTTACAGCAAAAAAAAACCACTATGCATGAAGGTTGATTACAGTAGAAGAATTCTTCCATTCTACGTATACACAGAAGCCGAAATCTGAAATAACCTGGTTCCTGGTATATACATCATCAAATCCTCCACTACACCACTTTGCGAAGTTCTAGGTCTCTTTAGTAGGTTACTGATTTCTAGGGTCAGTATTTCTGTCTTTAAGGAAGATCCACCGTATCCCCTGGGTCTCCGAGCCAAGGATACGTTAGATTTAGCGAAAATGGAATATGTCATTGACAAAATGCTCTGATGGAGATAGTTTTCATTATGGCGGTAACCAGAATGGTTCAGTATAATTTTTGAACCATGTGGTTTAATATGCCAAAATCTCTGCTCTGTTATGCAAACTTTAACATTTATTTTTCACAGTTCCTATCAATTTACACACAGACAAACTACTTGTTGTCTTAGTTTACAGGGTTAATGGCGTGGGAAAACCGCAAACTAAATACAAACTTTCTCATTTCTTTCTGGCGCATACAGTAAATCAGTGGATTTACAAGAGAGTTTAACATGCCAGGCGTTCGAATCACGATACTAAGAATTTCCCTCATTTCTCCAGAAGCAAAAAGGAGGAGTTGATTTTGCTTGGATAATACTGTTGTTAAGAGCTGATATACAGTCATGGGTAAGAAACATAACAGGACGGCACCAACCACAAGTACAGTTGTCTTCAGTGCTTTGTTTTCTTTTACGAATCTTTCAATTTCAGTTTGTGGAAGCTGTTGAGTTCTGATCCTTTTTCGATGGCGAAGAGTTTCGCGATACAAAATAATGTAAGTTACAACAATAAACATAATACTGAAAGACAGCGCAAAGAAATGTAAAGTTTTCATTGAATATTTTGAAATGTCGGATTTTACGAAACTTAATACTCCAATTATAAATGAAAAGGACCAAACTGCAAGAACCGATACCTTAATGTTTCGCTTTCTGACTATGTATGAATAATAGTTTGTATATTTAACGGCTAGCAACCTCTCGCAAGTTGCTAACATCAAATGAAGAGATGAACTAATTGTAAGAAAGCGTAAAAAGTAGTTCTGAACCTCCACGAATGCAGTAACGTTGACGTTTTTTAGAACGTAAAAGCTTTTCCAAGCGACGAACGATGGTTGCACTATTAAACCAGTCAACAGATCAGTTACCGCTAAACAAGAAAGCAGGATGTTTGTGTTGCTCTGTAGGCTTGGACGCTTCTTTACTGCCATTATGACCAATACGTTCAGCAACACCGTAAAGGGACAAGAGATGCTGTTGATAATTATGGCTCCAACGGTGAAAATAAACTCAAGTTGAACGCTTCCTTCTGTCTTGTTTTCCATGGTAGAATTGCGGACAATGTTGTTGGTTGTGTTTGTTAAATTGGAATCAGAGAGGATCTCCATGATTGAAATGAAACTTTCTGAAGCAGCTGTCTCTCTGATTTGTTCTTTTACGACTGACGAGAATGTTACTTTATAATAGTGTGCAATTAATAAGTACTTCTTCAGTCTTTGTTTTCTTAGTAAATGCATCAAACTCATGCAGCTGTCAAGTATTTTACTAAATATGTCACACCGGCTAAATTGTTGATAAAATTTGCTTAGAAAATGTTACATCGTCGCTGAGTCAGAAATGCCGAGAACTTGAAAAATGATAATTTTCCCCTAGTGTCAGGATTTCCTTGATATTAGCAAAGTCTTAAGTGCAGAAAAGATATAAAATGTAATGTTATCGTCAAAATAACGTACTAATTGTAAATCTGAGTAATGGTCAATTTCGCTTTCTTTTAAACGGGTTTTCAGAACTTGGAAATGCCCTATTATTTGCAACTCTATTTAATCGGGTTTATTTGATGGCGAATGGGGACTATTACTCTTCGCGTTTTTGGTACGAACTGAGGAATGGGAACCGAACGTCAGTTACTATTGAAAAACCTAGCTGGCAAGTTATCGCGTTTTAAGGACGGGGAACCACTGTTTTGACATTGTAAGGTCTGACGTCCACATGTGCGTTAGGGGATCAGGAGTCACCTTTCGCAATGTGAGGGACTTTTAAAATGATTTTAAGCCAATTCAGAGATTTTTTTAAACCAAATTTCATGGTTAATCTAGCCTGAATGCTAGTTACATTTCGTTTTTAGACCGACAGTTTAAATCGTTTTATATTGTGATTTTTGATGAAAGTCCTTTGTTAGTTTTTATAAAGTATTTTAATTCATTATTTGGGAAGCATATTCGTAAATTTTAGTCTTATTTCCAATTTTATATCGTGAAAAGCTTGATTTATCGTAAATATACTTCATTTAACAGTTTTTGTTCATTAGGGTTTTTTGTTTGATTCATCTCAGAACGCTGCAAACATTAAGTTTGATTGAACGTGGGCGGAATATGTCTTTGAAAAAACGCTCCCTGAAATCGTTTTCATTATGACAGTATGTGAGAATATAACTACTAGGTTATTGAATATAACTACCGAACGATGTAGTTATCACACTTCTCGCAGACTCTGCAAACTTTAATATTTCGCTTTCCACTTCAATATTTATACCAAATGACTCACCAAAGAAACAACGTTTGTATTAGGCCCAGGCCAAACGTCAAACTTTTCATTAGACGAGCAAACTCTAATTTGTTTACACCTCTGGGCCGACCTAAATTAAGTTAAGATAGTATGTTGGTCAGACGTCGAACTTAGGACCCTCGAACCAGTCAACTGAATCAGAGCAAAAAGCAATTTTGATCAATATTCTCACGAACGAGGCTAAATATACATCATACAAATTTTTAATTTTGCAATTAATAGTTCATCGTCGCATATGAAGATAGAAGTTTGTCCCGGAGACAATCTTACGACGTTCTATGCGTCTGAAGCAGACGGATAGAACGTGTTCGACGATCCAAACTCATTCCGACGAACTAAACTGAGCCAGACGTCGAACTATTCCTTAACTTAAGATGGCTTGACTGGATTTTTTAGGGGGGACACATCCCAAGTTTGAGCATTAACTACGTCGGCAAAAGTAAAGATGTGGTAAAAAGGTTACCACAACTCTATTATATAAAGATGGAAATTTCTTATTGTCTGGGTTTTATTACAATCGGAGTCGCCATGGCAACGTAATGACGCCATTACCTTTCAAACTTATCTTTGTGTTTCTCTGTACCAGGATTTTTTTAATAAGAAATCGCTTAAGGGAGTATGTACCTGCCATAATTGCCTCAATTATGGCAAAGTTTGAACAAATTCTATGAGAGCGTTTAGGAAATATTTTGAAACGAAGCTTTAAGAATTATAAAAAAGTGAAATAGCATGCTATCCACTTAATTAGCTAATATTTTTAACAAATGATAAGCTTTGGAAAAGCGGCTTCATCTCATAGTGGTCACAAGACGCTGTGGGAGCGTATATTTGGGCGTGGTTGTATTACGCGTATGATACTTTTAACATGCCTTATTGCAGCTAAACAACAGTCATCATATTCCACCAGAGAAAATAAATCCTTTATTCTACTTCTTTGCTGAACCACACAACTTATACAGTATGCTCCAATCCACAACAAAAATCCTGTCACTTCATGACAATGTTTTGAAAAGCACATCTTCAACACAGACTTGCTTTCAGCCAAATTGCAACATAGGACACCAGTGCTTAAAGCCCGGAGAGTGAGGTTTATCTGAGCTCCACTGATACGGACACTTCGTGGAAGATTGACTGGCATAATATGCCTTTTCACACCCATCACATTGTACAATGTATTCCGATTACTAATAAGGGCAGATATAGTTCCTGAAGTCCAGTATCCACAAGGATTTATAACAGAGTAACACACTGCATCAACTGCTACAGCGCAGCACTGTTTACAGGAACATTGGTAACTATCAACATTTGATATACTACAATATTCAACACTGCTTAAGAAAAGATCAACTTCAAAGGTGGCAATATGTACACCTTTAAGCTCATATATATCCTCATTCCCATATAGACTCTGAAAATTAATATTGTACTAATTTATGCATGGATTTAATTTCCAACAATACACATGTCCTTTCACTATGACTGTTACCATACATATCTCTAGCACGAGAATCAAATGCTTTGTATCCACCACCGTCAATGCTGTAAGATAACAACACCAATAATTCCCATCGTTAAAATGAGTGAGTTGTAGTTCAGAGCCAAGAGTGTTTCAAATGCTGTACCCAGTGGTAGTGATACCCCTCAATTCTGGCATCATGTTACAAGTATAACTCCCACTGTATTCAAGCTGGAAAAATCGCTAAAACACTGTAACCATTCCTGGCAATTCTGTTAACATTAACACAAATTGTCTTGCAAGCAGTGACAGACTAGAATATATCTGATTACCAAGAAACACTATTTGAATCATATCAACTGAAGTAACCCTTCTTATCTTACTGTAAAGTAAAGCGCACAGACTCATTGCAACACATTGTTGTCCTGCATTTTCCCTAAATACTGAAACGTTTCCTTGCAGTATAGAGCATGAATTGTTTTTGTAGCACCTACATAAACTGATGGTCCTGGATTCTTCTCGATATCAGTACAAGGCCAAAATTAACCCGGCAATTCAACTTAGACGACAGATACACCTTCCCTCGTTTACGAACTAATTTTGGAGTGGCCCTTTAAGTAAAAACCTCACACTGTTACAGTTACTTCTGTACCTGTTTATAACAATGAATTTCAGACGACAATGGTGTATTTTCCCGAATACCCTTCCATGCAAAAACTTTCACTTTCTGTGTTTTCTGTAACAAAGATTTTATTTTCTTCATCGGTAATCTGCTATTTGCTCGACCGCATCGAGAGAACTGACTAACCTTATTTAAACCAATGGAATTTTAAGTTCTGTAATAAATAAATTTCCCATGCACGACGAGATATAAATAAATTCAAGTTCTTTTACTTCCTCTACGACACAATTTTGATTCTGTACAATTGAGTCATTGCCTTTTCCTGTCACCTCACTGCCATCAAAACACTCTAATTCTGAAACAAAACTTGCTGATAACGCAAAATCCTGCCACCGAGCACCTTACATGTACCGCGTTATATAAAACACAACGTGCAATACAACAAGGACATTAACAGTCACTCTGCTAAACAAAATTGAAAGCATAAGAAGAATTGTTACAGCTATCACAGTAGTTACAAAAGAAGCGTGACTCCCTTTTGGTTTCAATTCTTGGTTTGCAACCACGTGACAAGGCGGCCATGTTGGGGGTCAAAACAAAAGAATATTTCCTCGAAAAATTTACATGAAAATAGAGTTTAGTTCCCAGAGGAGAGAAATGCTTTTGTTCTTGACCACCAACATGGCCGCCGTGACGTCACGTGCAAACCAGCAATTGTTGACAATCGTCTCGTCCTTTATTGGAACACATTTACATGAACACAGGCAGCCTCTCGTCTTCCCCATTGTGAATATCCAAATCACTTTTGTCACACTGGTTACCAGCTATACAAATCTTTCGACTCTCAAACTTGATACACATTCCTCTCTTCAAACTCTTATCCATTTCACACGAACACTCCTGATATTCCAGATATTTTGATTTGTCATTTCGTCTATGAGTATTTGATGCTATTGAGAGTCTTGACAATTTCGTTTGATTTTTGCTGAAAATTCCTTTTAAGTACCTTTTTAGTTTTTAGTTAAGAAGCATATTCGTAAATTTTACTTTTATTTCCAATTTTATAATGTGAAAAACTTGTTTTATTGTAAATATACCTAATTTGACAGTTTTTCTATATTAAGGACTTTTTTTAGTTTGATTCATCTCAGAACGCTGCAATCATTAAGTTAGGTTTAACGTGGACGGAATATGTCATTAAAAAAAATGAGCCCAGAAATCGTTTTCATGACTAAAAGAGATGACAGTATTAAACCAGAATATAACTACTATATCACTGAATATAACTACTGAACGATGTAGCTATCACACTTCTCACATACTCTGCAAACTTTAATATTTATTCCCACTTCCATATTTACGTCAAATGACTCACAAAGAAACAATGTTTGTATTAGGCCTAGGCCAAGCGTCGAACTGTTCATGAGACGAATCAAGTTCTAATTTGGGTCGACCTAAATTAAGTTAAGATCGTCTGTTAATTGGGTCAGACGTCGAACTTAGGACCCGTAGAACCAATCAACTGAATCAAACAAAAAACAATTTTGATAAATCTTCTCACGAACGAGGCTAAATATACATCGTCATACACATTTATAATTTATTAGTTTAGTTCGTCTCATGTGAAGATCGACGTTTGTCCCGGAGACGATCTTAAGACGTTCTATCAGTCTGCTTCAGACGATCCAAACTCATTCAGTTAATGAACTTTTTATTAACTTAACTCACAAAGTTTGGTTCCTCCCATGAAAAATTCGACGTTTGTTTGGCCTATTCCTTAGTTTACAGGGTTAATGGTGTTGGATGGCCTTAAACTAAATACAAACTTTCTCATTTCTTTCTGGCGCATACAGTAAATCAACGGATTTACAAAAGAGTTTAACATGCTAAGCGTGCGGACCATGATAACAAGAATTTCCATTTGTTTGTCAGAACTAAAGAGAGGGACTTGATTTCGCTTTCGAAATACTGTGGTCAAGAGCTGATATATGCTCTTTGGTAGAAAACAAAAGATGATTGTACCTACCACAAGTACAGTTGTCTTCAGTGCTTTGTTTTCTTTAACAAATCTTTCAATTTCCGTTTGTGGAAGCTGTTGTTTTATGATCCTCTTTCGGTGACGAAGAGTTTCACGATACAAAGTAATGTAAGCTATTACAATAAAAATGACACTAAAATACATCGTAAAAAAATTCAGAAGTTTCATTATATCTTTAAAAATGGCCTTTTTTTCCGTAACCTAAAACTCCAGTCATAAAAGAAAAGGACCAAATTGCAAGAACCGATACCTTAAAGTTTCGTTTTCTAACTATGTACGAGTAATGGTTTGTATATTTAATTGCTAACAACCTCTCGCAAGTTAATAAAATCAAGTGAAGTGATGAACTAATATTAAGAACGCGTACAAAATAGTTGTGAATCTCTTTGACTTCATCTACTGCAGTAATGTCACGGGCGTTTTTAAGAACATAAAAGGCTTTCCAAATAACGAACGATGGTTGAGCCAAGAGACCAGTTAATAGATCAGTTACTGCTAAACAGGAAAGCAGGATGTTTGTGTTGCTCTGTAGGCTTGGTCGCTTCCTTACCGCTATGATGACCAACACGTTTAGCAAAACTGTGAAGGGACAAGCGATACTGTTGAGAATCAGTATGGTACCAACGGTGAAACTAAAGTCAAGGGGTTGAACGCATCCTCCTGTTTCGTTTACCATGGTGGCATTTTGTAAAATCTTGTTTGTCTTGTTTGTGAAGCTAAAATTGGGGAGGAACGCCATGTCATTTCATGAGTGAAATCCTTGTGCAGGCAACTGTCCCCTGATCTGTCTTTTATAAGGAGGACAAATTAACCAATGATTGATCATGAGGTTCTCAGTTCTGATTTCTTTTGATTCTGACCCACCTCTTCAATTTGATCCGGTCTTGGTTCCGAGTACATTTTCCTCCACTTTCGGTTTCTTAGTCAAAAAAGGTTATTCATGTATCAATTAGTGTTAAACGCAGTTTAAAATCTCTAATTATATTTTATCTATTGTTGTCACAGTAAATGAACCCCTCAATACAGTCAAATATTTTAATTAAACATAAGCAGTGATTGTTGATAAAAATTTGTTTAAGAAAGTTAATTGCCAATGGGCGCTAACCTTGAGCAATCCGATTTTTTAATTTCTGATCAAGAAATCGTTTAAATTTTGAGGAAGAAAAGATATTATAATATTCTCTGGAAACTCCATGTTCGGGGAAATCCTTCTAGATAGTTCTTTTAAACAAATCAGTAGATAGCAATTTTCGCGCGTGTTGATTGGCTCCCGTAACTCAGAATATCCTTAAGGCTAGTCACTGTTCTTTGACAGGAGTCACTATGGCGTCCCGTTTCGCGACAGTTTCGGTAGACGACATTGTAACCACAAATAAAGCTGGGGTTCCAACAATTACCGTAATTTTACTTCATTACAGTGTCTTTTCGCGCAGTTAGCCAAAACAAGAAAGACAAATTTGGGCAATGCAAGCTGATAAGAGGCGAAGATTTAGGATTCTTCGATTATATTTCGTACCAAGAAATTATAAAGCGACGGAATTTGGCTAGATATGTACCTCGACTCTGCGTCTTGGGGATTACTTATATTAGCTTTATATGTTATTGCCCGATATTGATTGATCTCAAAGAAGGCAATCACTTCAAACTAAAACAGCTTTTATTTTATTGTTTTGAGCCGAAAGAAAATCCAAAACTTTTTGTTAAATTTATCTGTGTACACGCCTTTTTTTGATGGAAGCAATTCCCTTTTCAAAGTCAGGTACCGTAACGCGGTATCCAGCGAGGATACCCCGGCGAAAACCAGGTTAGGAGGTCAACTTTTTTATAACCCAAACTAATTACAATCGATTTATAGCCTATTGCTGATTATTTAAATGCAACATTTTAAAGGACAATCGCCATTCAATAATTGTCCGCTTCATTACTTATTATTTTTATAACTGTTTGCAAGTGTATTGTTTCTAATACATAATAAAGGAATATGTGCCTTTTAACTCTTTTAATTACCTAAAACCATAAAGAACGAAACCAACTATTAAGTCGGCGTCTCTCATCAATAACATTCAGCTGTTTAATGGCATTGTCTTGGCAGCATGCACAGCAATATAGTCAACACTTCACTGGTTTCTGCGATGAATCAGCACTCCAGTTAAAAGATTTATTAGCCAGCTATTCTTCAATGTGAAGAAAGCAGTTGAAAGCATTGTTTTAAAGACGAAGATGAAAAGAACTAAAAAAAGGTTGCTAAGTCTCTTTGAACTTTAGTAACAGATCAACAGTAGTTCAATTTGGTGACTGACCATTATATGTTCGACTCTAGCCGGCTTTGTTCGCACAATACCGGATGGCTTTTGCGCCGGCAGGAGACATAGTATCGGACTTGCCCTCTGGCGCCGCCCCGATTTCTAAAGTGGAGTCAGTCCATATCGGATAGATGTTCATATACTTGTTAGCTTTTAGTGTCGGCTTTTGCGCTTCATTGATTCGCATCCTAAAAAGAGATGTTCACCTTTATAATGCGTTACCTAGCGAGAAATTGTTTATTGTTGGACTGTAAGTTCCGATCATTCCTGATTTTTTAATAAATTGCGGCAGAATAAATAGTTCTAAGAATTACAAAGAATAGTTCTTCGTAGTGTCTACACAGAATTAATTGGCCTTTTAAATCGGTGCTTGAAAGTATATTTTGCCTCTCGCTACTTTACAAATTAAAATTAACATCATCAAGCAGTTTTGCTAAATTACCGTGAAAATGGTATCAAAAGCAGCTGAACGCAGGCTAATCAAATTTTTCTTTCTTTACTGTAAATCGCCCAGAGCAATCCCTGTCTTTTTTTCTTACACAGTTTTAAATGGAATCAAACCACAATTTTGAGATGAAACTGCTTTTCCATTCCTCAAAATTTTCTTACTATGTTAGCTAATTATGGCGATAGCATGGACAATCACTGTTTTTATGACCCTTAAAACTTTGTTTCAAAATATTTCCAAAATACTCTCATAGAAATTGTTCAAACTTTGCTATAATCGAGGCAGCGAAGGGAGGTACAAGCTCCAATAAGCGATTTCCGAAAAAAAGCCCTCCTGGTATAGAGAAATATAGCCTCCCACACAGGCGTTTTTAGGGGAGCTCCTCGTTTCATCCCTGCTTAGGAGGCTACGAGAAATACAAAGGCAAGTATTTTTGTTTTTTTACAAATTTTCATCTTTATACAATACCTGACAGTTTTCATCTTTATTATCTTATATACCTTAATCTACTAAAGATGAAAGACGAGAACAAATTGAGAAGACCGATGCCTTAATATTTCGCCTTGTGCCTATGTATGAATAATGGTTTAATTTGTATATTTAATCGCTATCAAACTCTCGCAAGTTACTAAGTAAACTTTAAATGGAGTGATAAAATGATAACCAGAGCACGTAACAAATAGTTGTGAACTTCTTTGACTGCAGCAAAGCTGACGTTTTTAAGAACATAAAATAACGAGCAATGGTTGCACCATGAGACCAGTTAACAGATCAGTTATCGCTAAACAGGAAAGCAGGGTGTTTGTGTTGCTCTGTAGGCTTGGTCGCCTCTTTACCACCAAGATAACCAACAAGTTTAACAGATCGGTGAAGGGACAAGCGAGGCTGATGATAATAATGTGGCCAACGGTAAAATTAAAGTTGAGTTGAACGCTTAGCGTCTCGTTTTCCATGGCAGAATTCAAGATCTTCCTTTGGTTATGTCTGCTGAATTAAAATTAGAATGGTTGGTCTTGCAGAAAACTGCTGAATCAGCTGTCGAGTCTTTGAATCACTCTTAATGACGAAAATAAACCAATGAATCTTGTTCTTTCTTTCTTTTGAAGAACAGCCACTCGGGCAAGACCTCAGTTTGATATGATCCTATGTCGTAGTGGAGAATTTTCCAGGTCAGTTTTTCCCAGTAAACAAATCATGCGTTTTTAACTATTGCTGCCGTAGATACATCTAATTGTCAAGTATTCTGTCCTGAAATTAAGAAAATGTCATACAAAGTTGAGTAATAAAGTTTGATCAGGAAATTTTTTAATTGTTTCGTCTGTCGTCTTTTTCTCGACCAGAGCTGGTCACTATGTAAACACTTATGGTAGTTTTGGTCCTTGCACAGCTCAGACACTTAATTTATGTATTTTTTATCCGATTTTAAGAAAAACAGTCCTAGCAAATTCAAAATACCGGCCCTCTCAAAGTGACATTAATCAACTTCTCGGCCAGTGGTCCCGCAAATTCACGACTTTTCAGCTTTAAATATTGATTCTTGCAGTCCCGTTTTCCTGTGGTCAAAAAGAACTCTATTCCATCGATATGTTTTCAGTAAATCAATTATTTGAACGCCTGCTTCCGCAGTCCTGCAGTGCTGTAGTCGATGAATTATATAATCTATTTAAGTCGGTAAGTAAAAGACTCAAAAAATGCACATGTAGAACATGTAGAATTGGAAATTCGTCTAAGGACACCCATTACAACCGAACCAGTAGAGTCTCCTAAACGGTCTTCTCTAGAGGCCTGTTTGGTTCATTTGGAGCTGCTGCCTGCATTACTAATTTATCAGTGCTTATGTCTCAGGGGAACTTTTGTCGTCTCGAAAGTTTACGTGACTTCAGTCGTCTCATCCGAAACTGTTAGCTACCGGCGGATGGATCCGGTCGAAAGTTCGACTGCATGAAGTAGCCATACTTTCGTTAGCGGATTTTAGGCTATGAGACCTTCGCAATATCTTGGTAATAAAATGTGAAAAAAAAATTCCAAAAATCGTACGTAAGATGGCGGAAAAACTCCGAATATCTTTGACGAAGGAAACTGTTATCCAAGACTTTTTTGCCTTTCTCTTTTGCCTTGCTCTTTCGAACAGTTTTTTTTTTTTTTTCACAGAAAAAAAAATCGTCGCGTGCCGTTGATTAGTATATTTGAATCTTGACGATTCGAAGAAGGAGTTATCCTGCCCCCGTAGTTTAATTTCGTGTGACAAATAAAAAAGAAGTGTTTGCCAAAACTTTTTAGTTCAATTTATGGCAGAGAATAAAGAAGACATAACACTGTAGCTGATCATGAAAAGATGCCATATATTGCGTTTGTTACGGCAGAGGCGCATTGACAAGGATCAATTGATCTCGGGGGTAGAAGCGGAATCATTTGAATCTTGATATTCATGATTCCTGTCGTTTTTGCCTCAATGATTCATGATTCCTACAAGAATTTTCCTCCAGATTCATGATTCACGAAGACTTCTGATCATCACCTATTGATTTAATGATTTTTTCAGGGGCAACGTTACGGTAGTCTCGTTTTGTATTCTTTGGTGTTCAAACTTCTGCTTCATTCAGACTTGGTATTCGTATTGTCTTGGCATGGATTTTTTTGTAGCTGAACATTAAGCACAAGGTTATTAAAGAAACAAGCGGACTGTTAGCCCCGAATGCACGAATTAGATAGGGGGTCCAGGAGCATGTTCCCCCGGAAAAAAATTTGAAAATTGGACCCTCGGAAACGCCATATCCTGCATTCCCTGGATCGAACGCAGTTAATTCATAGGTGTATTTTGTTGAGTTTTTCTCAGAGTCTCGTTATTCATGATTCCCGCTCCGAAGTACAAAGATTCATGATTCCCAAGTTTTTAAAACAAAGATTTCTTATTGTTACATGCTTTGTAACTATGGTTCATGATTCATGATTCCGCTTCCACCCCCGAAATTGAAAGCGTTGATTGCATGACGACTCTTTGCGCGAGAGCTAACAATTGTAACAACGACAGATCCAGGAAGATAAGTGCGTTCATTACACAAGCTATGAAAATCGCTGCATAAAGATTACAAAAACTGTGACAAAATTGCCAAACTTATAAATGGCGCCTAAAATTGCCGCTAGATGAACCGCTAAAAGTTTTCTTTAATTTAAAGTAAAGCATCAAAAGTTGCGAGAAATCCCTCCTCACAGAGAGCCATTTAACTTTGGCCCGCAGGGCAGAGACTATTTACTCGACATACATTGACTTTGTTCGCTGAGTAATGGATCTTTTGTGGGAAATGGGTCTGTTCTATTCTTAAAACAGAAAGGAGTTTATCGGTCTTTACTGAACAGTTATTGAGTTCATTTGGGTGCGAGGAGAAGCAAATGAAATCTTTTTTTTTTTTTTTTCATATTTTAGGCCATCCCCTTTTTTTTCGTCTAGCGTCGAATGCATTTCCTGATATTGGATCGGTAGGTAGGATTGGAAAAGAAAACCTAAAAAAAATCACAAGAAGTCTCGAAATAGGAGGCGCTGGTAACCCAAGATGACGTTAGTTAACATTCACATATTTGGATTAACAAAACGCGTAATATATTGTAAAAAATATTCCCGTTTTTCTCTATGCTGTTACTATGTTCATTATTTAGATTAAAAGAATTATTTCAAGTGAAAAATGGTTTAATTACCTCGTTACTTTTTTTCTTCAACATGCCAAAAATTTGGGTCGGTCGGACGACGCTAAACGGAGAAAAAAAAAGAGGATAGCCATATCAGTTTTCGTTCAAGTTGACTCGTCCATTTTGCTAATATTTTAAAAACGTTTTTTCATGACGGCATATATTTTTTCCTATAACCAATTTTAAACTGATGAACCGTGAGGAGTCGGCTATTCGTGACCTCATGATCAGTTTTTAATGTCATTTCTTCAGTAAGAAAAGCTTGTGGTTAAAGGTCATCCCCCGGGCTCCTCAGTATGCGAAAGTAGGGTCCTGTGCTTATATAGCTCTCGGAGCCTGTGATGGCCTAAACTGATTGATGATGATAAGTAGACAAGCGATAACCGAACACAGGTGATCAGGAGTAGAACCAGATTACATTACCCCTAAAACATTTCACTCATCCTTTATCCCTAAATTATTTGTCCAGTTATCCCTCAGGCATCCCTAAAAACCGCAACAGGGCCCAGCTTGAGCCCGCGGTCGGTTTTCATGGAACAAAAAATACCTTAAGTATATGCGCGTTGTCATCAAAACAAAATGGTGGATGTCAAGGAACTTTGTGAAGATGGGTACAGATTAGCTATTCAAGCCGTAGATTTAGACAAGATCGGCAGCGGAGATGCCGCGGCATTTTTCTACATTGAAGCTGCGGAAGCTCTTTTAAAAGCATTGTCGTATGATCCGAGTTTGGACGTGAAGGACAAGGCTTCACAGTACATTAGGAGAGCGGAAGAACTTCGTGCATTGGAACAACAACAAGGTATTAATCAACAGGAAGTTAATTACGCTTACCTTTGTAGGAGCTACAAGGGAACTCAGTTATTTGATAGTTACCAAGTGTAAAACTCTCAAATCAAATCAGCTCTCGCTATTTTCTGTCCAGTTGTATGATTTTTAACATAAAAAATTCAAGTTCACAATTTATTAGGAAGTGTTTCTGGCAATCAATAAATAAATCAATCAATTTATTTTCCCTTTTTTACATCTAGTAATTACATAGTCTTATAATTAAAATATACTTGGGCAGGAACTCTCAGCAAACCCTGTAGGGCTTTCCCAGGAGAGCCCCTGGACAAGTTTTATACAAGTTTGATTTTAAGTTAAAATTACATGTCTGTGTTTAGATTACCAATCTTGGGCATTATTAAAAAGCGTTTGTGTTTACAGCCCCAAAAGAAAGTACTGCACCATTCACTGATAGTCTTCCTCAGGTGTTGAGGTCATGTGATCATGCATTACCTTTGATATCACAATGATCAACTATGATTGGTGCATTTTATGCCTTTTTGCTTCCTGGAGTAGCATGTACACCAACTCTCCCAAATTATCCACCCCCCCCCCCCTCCCCCACCCCTTTCACTCATAGTATGATTTCTGGGGCATTTTTGAAGACCTATTTTGTAACAGACAAAATCATTTTGTCAAAAGCAAATTTTGTTGGTCTGTATTTTATGTAGAACGTCATTAATTTTACTATCCTAAATCACACACATGCTATAATTTGGGTACTTGGTCAATTTGTGCTTATCAAGTGGGGGGAAGGGGTGCATCTGTAGGTCGTTGATAGTCTTTGGAGGGTGTTTAATGCAAAAGAGAGAGTCTCCAGAAGTTGACATCTCTGCAAATGGCTAGGTTCTCATCAATCGCATGATACATACCATTCTGCTGTTGAGTTTCCTAAACATGGTCTTACATTCCATGAATGTTGCTAAGAGCCAGCTGCTGGCTAATTTTATTGCTTGAAAAAGAGTTCACCACAAGCTTGAATTACTCTGGAAAACAAAAACATGGGTAAATTTATTAGTGCAGTTGAGCAAAAAGCCAGCTTGACTAATAAAAAAGCCTGCATAGCTTAAAATCCCTGATGTGCACCATGAATTTCACTTCCACTAGGTCCCTGTTGATTGGAGTAGTGATACCAGGCTTCATAAATTAGCTTAATCACTTTGCAAAGTGGATATTAGAGACCTTAAGATACACTGTTTCTGTTTACAGGTACGAGAAAATTAGCCGTACCTGTAGCCATTAATACGCGGTAGATGGCTTCTTACCCTGGACAATGCATGGCTAGGCTACTGGGTAGAACGATTATTCCATTATCACATCTTGGAAATTATCATTGCCTTTATTATGACTACATGGCAAACGTGTTCGGCTATATGTTAAGGTCCCTAACAGCCAGTCTGGTAAATGTGCTCAGCAACAGCAGAGATCTAAGAAAAGGCTAGTTGTAATACTATATCCATCATGTGGTCTTTACATGTAAGCCTAAAAATTCTGGATTTTTGCAGTTTGAATCAAATATATTGGTAGTAACAGCAAATTTTATTTGCAGATTCATCAGGTGTACCTACGTTCAAATCTTCCCAACAGGCAAGCTATTGATCTTTTTCCCTAAAAATAGTTATTATAATAATTATATTTAATCTGTAGGTCAATTTATTGTTCTAGAATAGGTCATTTCCAATTTTTAAATTGCAATTTTTATTTTTATAACTACAGAAAGGTGTGGAAAGAGCAGAATTTCTCCTGAAGCAAGCACTACATGAAGATGAAAGAGGGAGACCAAATGATGCATTGCCTCTGTATACTGATGCTGCTGAACTCTGCATTGGAACAGTGAGTTGCAGTCAAATTAGATAGGGCCAAGGAGGTGGGAGAGGGGCAGGGGGATGGGGATGAGGATGAGGTACACTGTAAAATCCTAAATATATCTGTAGGAGGGATATAGATGCTCTCTGGAAAATCGTAATGCCTCACTTAAACAGAATGCTTATATTATTATTTTATTTATTTATTGTATTAGCTTGGCCTATTACTGAACAATGAATAATAAATGCTTAATAGGCAGGGGTGCCACAACAGCGTTGAGCCAATTACGTTGGTTCCAGAGCTTAAGAGATATATGTACGAAACAGTAAAACTTCGTGTGACAAATTATTAACAAAAAATAACAGAGACGGACAGACACGTTTTGTGAAACGTTACATGACGGACAGACGGTTTTCTATGATCGAGGGTTCTCTGGGTCGTAGTTATGTTCTAAGGCATCCATGTACAGTGTAGTACTTGCACATGATGGATTTGTACTATGTGTCCTAGGCTTTTGAGGTGTTAACAGGCATCTGATCATAGAACCTATCATATTCAGAGAACCATGTACTGTTCGTATTGTTGAACGCTCTCTAACTTGTGATTAAAACTTTGCAGAGCAGTGGTCTCCCTGATGATGATAAATTGAAGAAAAAGCTTCAGCTTCTTGCTAAACAGGCAATAGAGAGGTAGGTCATACAGTCCAGGTAGAAGTAGAAAAAATAATAAAGCAAACATACATCTTGTATTTGACTGTGTATGATGTATTATACACTGTAGTCATAAGGGGATAAATAGGAATTCCATTCTTGGATCTGTTCAGTTATGGATTATGAAGTCAAAGACTGTGATAAGCTGTACAGTCTGTTTTTACATGATGTTATTATTTTTTAATTCCTGATTTTGCAAAGATTAAACTGGAATTAAACATTCATACAACAAAATCAATAGTCTGTTTTTAATTTGTACTCTAGTGTGGGTGTTTCTTTCTTAAATAGGAAGAAACACCATTATAATGAATACTAGAGAGCAACTTTGATTGTTCAAGGATTAAAAAAGACTTTTTTGTCTGCTTCCCTTATTTTAATGTACTAATAACTCTTGTAACATGGTGACTTGTGGTTGTTTAAATGTTGTGATTTTTAGCATCAATTCCTCTTTAACTGAAACCTAACTGGGCAGATAATTAGATGTGAAATCAGCTATATCATAGTGACATGTGGTTTATTTGGATCTTTAGCAGCATGCAAAGAAAGTCATGTCTGTTAGCCGAGGGCTAGTGGATTTTGCTATCAGGCTAGTGATTTTGTTCTTAACTTGCTTGATGGGCAAGTGCTGTTTTTTTGGGAAATTCAAATTACAGAAGGATTGTAATCAATCCTGCTAATCAAAAAGGGTTTGGGGGCTAATTGAAATGACTTGTGGGCTGATACATGCTAGCTACAGCTTGTCCGAATGGCAGGCTGTAAAACAGTCTTTCTTTGCACCCTGCTTTAGAACAAAATTACCAAATAGATCGAAGCAATTTTCTGTGTTACTACTTGATTTTATGGTCATCACATTTTTTTACCCCTCTTCATCACTATTTTGAATTCATTTTTCAGCCCAATTTTTTCAACTTGTATTCCTGTAAAAAATAACAATTTGTATTATTGTTTTTGAATCTCAGAGCAGAAGCAATAAAGGGAATCTTAAACATCAGACAAAGCAATTCAGCAACACCAGGATCATCTTCAGTTATTCAAAGTGTTCAAGGCCTCTCCCTCAGTTCTAATGGTGAATCAACACCTGGGAGTAGCACAGGGGAGAAACGACCTCACCTCACTGCTAAGGAACTGGAGGTTTTAAAGTACGAATGTTTAAATTGAGTGATAATATCGCTAATGAAGCAATGAATAATTGCATTTTCAACTTGTGAAACAAAAACATTTTTTTTTTACATTATAATGTGTGCACCAGTTCCAAAAATTATCCATACCTCCCCCATGGAAGGGATTTTTCTTTAGACCCCCCCCCCACCCCTCTGGAAATTCCAGTCAAGCTTCATACATTTACTTAAATTTTGGGCCTTTGAGAACCCCCACCCCTAGGAATTTCCTATCCCTTCTGTGGGGGGAGTATGGATATTTTCTGGAACCTCACAATGTAAAGAAGATCATCACACTAAAAAATGCAAGTTACACACTGCAGGCAGTTGCGAAACGAAAGCCTGAAAACATCCAGACTTGGATTCCAACCTGGATGAGTTTAGCAAACTACATTGTAACAGGAAGCTGGTCATCAATTGGTTAGAGCACTGCACCAGTATCACAGAGGTCAGGGTTAGAATCCAGGCAAATATGAATTTTTCAGGCTTTCTCTTTGCAACTTTCTGTCAAAGTGCATCATAAACTGTGATGACCTTCTCTTTACATAAAAATTTTTATTTCTTCATCCCACAGTTCCAATAATTAAAATTCATATTCATTATTTCATTCTTCCATAATTAAATAAATGACATTTCAATATTATTACTTATAACAAAAGTTAAAGTTAAATGTAAGTTGTTTACCAACAAAGTGAAAATCAACCCACACAATTACAACCGTACAAACACTATTTCACCATAAATGTACTGTTTAAATTTACAGTGTAACTTTTTCAGGAAAACGTCTTATATCAATGGCAAATTATTTCCTCCATGGCTAGACATTGACCTCAAAGAAAGATTTGCTTATCCAGATTATTACAGGTTAGAATTCTGGAAATAGATTATTAAATACCCTTTTTTCCATACTTTTTTTGTTTGTCAGTAGTGTAAGGAATCTCCATTCTCAGTTGATTTCCTAACTGTAATATGTGTTTTGATGTTTATTAGTGACAAAGATGGGCAACTTGCACTTTCACAAAAGCAAAGGGCACGCTTTGCTAAGTGGTTAAGGTAAGCTGTTATTTCAGTTTAATTTCTTGTTGCAGCATTTTAAAATAATTTGAAAGGACAAAGCCCAAGGACAGTAACCTTAGGATATTTGTTCTGTGATATTGAAAACAACACCTTAAGGGTACCAGGTGACATGCTTTGACTCACCCCCTGACCCTAAACCTACAATCGTCGTGTAGTTCCCCCCATGCTATATGCTATGCATACAGACACTTCTCCCTGCATTCAAACACAATTGTAGTTTATATTAATAAATAATTTTGGTCTGTCTGCTTTGATCCTTTGTTTTTTACTCTTCCTATCATTGTGGAGCTTTCTAATTTGCTCACCAACGATGGAATGCAATTTTTAATACATTTAACGTCTTGTACGTCACCTATATACACTAACCAACCTTTAACCATATTTAACAATAATGTTTTTACTGAATTGCAGGCCAAGTGAGCTGTGTGAGAACCCAGAAATGATCTATGCTATCTCCAGTTTTAGTATAAAGCAGGTGACTGAATTAAATAGTTTTTGAATTAATTAATTGCTAAGTAAAGCAAGCTCAAATTTAAAATGTAAGACGAGTACAATGTATCAGATGAGGGAGCAGAGAAACAATTATGTTAAGGGTTTAATCTGTCTAAAACAGCTAATTTCCACAAACAACTCATACAAGGTCATGCATAGCTAGATGTTTTAATGGACTGCAATGACATTGTCATCATCACTATCTGAGAATTCTAGAACATATTGACACATGTATACCGGTAACGTTCTATAACTTGTTAAGTGTACATATATAGCATGTACATGTAGATTAAAGCAAAACACGTTCTATTTTGTTTGTTTCGCTATTGCTATTATCCCACTGTACATTGTAAAAATATTTTGTTACCGCACTTCTTTCATTTTGTTTTAATATTAATTTTCTGTTGCAGACGATCGTTTCAGATTGTTCATTTCTTGCTTCACTGGCCATCAGTGCTGCATATGAACGAAACTTTAAAAGGAGTCTAATAACCAGGTATCAACATAATCGTTGTTGCAAACGAAAAACTTGGGGTATAAAATTATATTGTCTTAATTTTGTACAAAAAATGTGCTTCTTAACTATCAGAAAAGTGCTCACCTTTGCTCTTGGAAAGTATGGGTTTGGTATTAGCCAAGCATTCGTACATTTTTATTCTTTCTACCACTGCGTGCAATTTGACGCAAAAGGACTTTCACCTTCATTTTAGGGTAACATCTGACATCTCATGGGTGTGTCCCGAGTGTAGATGCGTTGACAATCCTAAGGCTACATCAGAGGAGACTTTTCCGGATTTATTACATTTTGGGTATTCCGATTCGCAGGCGTTTATACTTTAAACGTATTCGGATTCACAACCGTTTACACATATTTTATCGATAAATCCGGGGAGCTATAGCAACGACGATTACGAAGACAACGAGAACGTCAAAAAGCTATAGGTTTAATAAGCCAAACGACAAATTTGGTACGTGCAGCACGCGTTTGGTATATTTCTTTGCTGTCCTTGCCCCACCCCCTCCCTCCCTGCAAGACAAAGACGTGAAATTTGGTCAAATTTATTTATGCGACATTGTTTGGAGGACGTAAACACAACACAACGAATTTCTTTTTCTATTTCCAAACTTGGGTGCGGTCCTCAAGAATTCAACTCCAATTAAATTCACATTACATTTTCCATTTTGAAGTGTGTTCGAATTAACGCGGATAAAGTTTGAATAAAAGCGAATTCATCTTAATAGTGACGTTTTTGCTGCCCTCGCTGTTGTTTTTGCTAAAGCACATCAACGTGACACTTCTATTTTACGCTCTAGTCCTTCTTTCAAGCACTCTTAACAGTTGTTCTGCAATCTGATGAATTAGATCTTTATACATGCATAACCAGAAACATAAAAATTATTTTCTAGATGAAGCTTTGACAATCCTTGGTATCCGTGGAACGTTATATTTCATTCACCTGTTTGGATAAGTTAGCTTTTTCCTTTCTCTCTTTCAGTATAATTTACCCACAGAATCGTGCCGGAAAGCCCGTCATTAATCCATCAGGCAAATACATGATCAAACTGCGTATTAATGGGGTTGCACGAAAGGTACATGACTATGACTGTTGTTAACATAAAGCCCCGGTCAACCGGTCTCACAACTCCCTCAACAAACCCGAACAGATAATCTTGCTTATCCCTGCGCTGCGAAAGGAGGGAATGAAAAACGGAATATTTAGAACCACAAAGTAAACTTAAATCTTTGACTTTACTCGGACATTATATTATGATCAATCAAGGAGGCCTGTTTTAAACTTTTCATGTTTGTAGTCTGAGAACGAAATCGTAAAGTCTGGCATTGTAACTTGACTGACAGTACATCCGCGATGCCAGTATGATCTTAGTGATATACAGCATTTTTGAATTTTAAAAGTTAAAAAGTTCTGAGTCTTGTTGCAATTTGTCAAAAAAATTTGATCCAGTGCGAAACATTTAAAACGAAAAAAAAAAAATGGTATTCAGTAAAAAGGAGAATACATGTATATCTACACCAAACGCCAAAAATGTTATCTATTTTTCCTGTGTATAAATCACATGGATTAGCAAACCTGGAAGCAGGCTGTTAAACCTGGATTTCTGTCCCTATATTTTTGCGCCAACTGCTGAGTCGTGTCTTGCTCGCTGTCTACTGATTGATTATAACATGAATTTATTTCTGTTTTATTCATGACAGGTGGTTGTCGATGATACTCTACCAGTAGGAAGAGATGGCGAACTGTTATGCTCTTACTCAAACAATCGCAATGAGATGTGGGTCAGTTTAATTGAAAAAGCTTATTTAAAGGTACGTCTCTTGCTCACGTTAGGAAGCTTAACCCTTGATCAACATCAATTTTCTCTCAACACAATCAATACATCATTAAGAGGAAAGATTATGAGAATGGATAAAGTCATCACCAAAGGAAATGTTTGATCTTTTATCAATTTCTGCCGAGTAATTCTTAAGGAAAATGTATAGAGAGTAGTCTGGAGAATTAGTAAAAGGTCCAATATCCACAACCGAAAAAAAAGGATTAAAGGGGTTGTGTCATGGCTGTCTACTTTATTTTGTTAATAATTAGCAATTAATGAATTATGGAGATCGAGGAGGGTGTTATCTGCCGAGGCCGCCAGGCGTATGTGCTCTCTCAGACACTCAGACACTTTTTTTGCAGGTGATGGGAGGCTACGACTTTCCTGGTTCCAATTCTGTAAGTTATTGTTTTTAACCATCTAACTGATATGACAGTGAAAATTGCCTAATGTTCCTAAAAACAACCCTAGGCCTACCTTCTGATGATTGTTAATCGAGCTTGGCACGCCAAGCCTGTAAACAACCAAATTAGCTGACAAACGAGGGATTTTGGTCGTGAACGCAATTTATATGGCTTTTACAACAGCGTTTCAGTAGTGTGGGATTTTGCCTATTTTTATATTTTAGCGAAAATTTATCTGTTAAATGATCTCACCAGAGTTGACCCTCTCCCAGGAGATGAGAAAAAGTCGACCCTGCTAGAAGGGCTACCAACGCAAACAGTCAAGGAAACTCCCCCCGCCCCCGCCCCAGGGTAACTCAACTACTCGTGTAAATTAAACTTGTAACACAGTGGGTTAGGGGCGGCGTTAACTCTTCAGGGAAGAGTTACCCTTCCTCCAAGCAAGCGGGATCTAAGACGGATTTTATAGGCCAAGAGGATTTGATTCCTTTGTTTTAGGAGCCGTTGGAACGTAAAACCATCTAGCCCCAGTTGTTAAAAAGTTGGGTAGCGCTATTTCGCGGATAAACCACTATCCAATAAATAACTAATAGGGAAATCGTCTCCATTGTCCTGTAAGTAATAGCCTGCGTGGCAGGTACAAAAAGGGGAGGGAGAAAAGCGCGAAAGCAGGGCCCCCTCTCCCCAATCCCTCTCCCTTTTTCCCTTCCTTCCTATCCCCTACCCGTTTCGACGCCTGCTACGCAGGCTAGTAAGTAATGATTTGTCTGTTGGATAGCCGTTAATCATCTTTAAAACAACTGGGGTCTGTTGACGCATTTTACAACTGCTACTTTTTCTTGGAAGGAGGAATATTTTACAACTACACGTTGAATAATCTTTGTAGTAATATTTAGCGCCTGAGGCCTATGCCAAACGTCGAACTTTTCATGAGAGGAACCAAACTTGGTGAGTGAAGTTTATGAAACGTTCGACGTCTGGCTCAGTTAAGTTCGTCTGAATGAGTTTGGATCGTCCGACACGTTCTATCCGTCTATAAGATCGACTCCGGGGCAAACGTCGATCTTCGCATGCGACGAAATAAACTAACAGATTTTAAACATTTGTATGGTAATGCATATTTAGCCTCGTCCGGGAGACAATTTATTAAAATTGAGCTTAAACTGCTTTTTAATTGGTCTGATTCAGTTGATTGGTTCGACGCGTTTTAAGTTCGATGTCTGACCCAACAGACGATCTCAATTTTATTAAAGTCGAAATTTGGTTAAAGGCGTGAAGAGTTCGACGTTTGCCCTAGGCCTAAGTCAGTTGTGTGTGTGTGTCGTTTGATTTTAGAGTATTGACCTTCATGCTCTGACGGGCTGGATTCCAGAGCGCATGTCCATCAAAAGGAACGATCCCAAATTTAATGAGAGTATGCATTTTGATCGGCTCCTGAACGGACTGAGGAAAGGTGAGGGCCATGTGATAAACTCTGAAACACTTATATTGATTAAGATTCAGTTTCTCATCCCCGTATCAGAGCAATATCGGGGCGAGACTGAAGAGACGAAAAAATGGAAAAAGTGCGAGGCTTGCTTTCCAAACGTGATGTGAAAATAAAGGACGGCTTGACCAGAGATTTTGTTTGACAGTACTATTTGAGTATGTGTTGGCTATTTCAAGTTGCAACAGTTTTGGTGGGTTGTGTTATCATTTTTTTTTTGTTCAAGAAGTAGGGCGTAAACCACTAAGAACTTTCCCATTAGGGTATCAAAAACAGCAAAATGGACCCGAATATTTTCCTCTTTGAGTAATATATGTTCTTACCTCATGATATATCGCGACCTGCTTCCATTTACGCAATCGGCAAACACATGATCATGAAACTAATCAGTTTTTTTACTTGACCACAGGTGATTGTCTTATCACGGTCGCAACGGGGCCCTTAAGCGACAGCGATGCTGACCGAGCAGGGCTGGTATCTACTCACGCCTATGCCTTGCTGGATATGCGAAAAATCCAGGTAAGTCGTGATTCGTAAAGGGGTTTTGTGAAGTTGAACTGATTTGCCCAGCACATTGTCTAACTCACTGGCGGACAGGTATTGAATCCCGATTAGCCTGCTCAGCTGACGGTGTGGTTTGGCGGGCGCGATCCCTCCCATTGCCCCTCCCCAACAAAACTGCCAGTTTCGCTACGTAACTGAGATGTTCCCGGTATATATGGGTATTGCGGAAGTGTGAGATGAATATGGTTATTGGGCAAGTTCCTTTTTTTGCGTTCGTTTCGGTCTATTTTACACGTGAAAAAAAAAAAAAAAAAAAAAAATGACGAGGTCAATATCCCATATCAGTATCAATAGCCATCGTAACCAGACACGTCCGAGAGGGCAGGATCATTCTCTTCGCTCTGGTAGCCAATCAAAACACAGGATTCACTACATCATTCCAGCTCAAGGAGCTATTCATATAATAATACTCATTATTAAAAACTGAATCATTGGATAATGCAATTCTAGAACTCTGATTGGCTTAGCCATCATGGTATATGAGCCATTATACCATGCTCTCCACATGTGGTAACTGCACACATCTGCTCAAAATTAAAAACAAGCTGAAAATCGGTTGTTTCCACAAATATATTCGGGAAGAATTCTCGATATTTTGTGGGCGTTTTTAATAAAACAATTATTCCACTACGCGCTACTCGCCTCGTTGGCTTTCACCCATCTCATATCCAATGCGCACTCATGGAATAATTGTTAATTAGTAAAGAGGCTGTGTCACGGAATTTATCAAAATTCAAAGAGTGGTAACTACCACCAAACTGAGGAAAACATAAAAACAACCGCTCAAAATGTTAAAATAAGAAGGTATAAACAACACAGCAAATAAAAAAGGTGGCACGGATGGACAAACTGGAAGAAGATTTAAAAAACGAATTGGAATTGCGATTTTTGAAACTTGTTAGCCTAACAGTTTTTCAACATTTTTTTTTTTGTAACGTTTGATATAATCCTTGGAAGACATAATTGCTTGACATGAAGCTGATTTCTCAAGTTCGATAGTCAGTAAGGATGCATAATTGGCATTATAAACACAATGAACTAAACAGCTGTGACGACACATCGCCTTTAAACTTGGAATTACTTATCGACGACCACCTTTTTTATATCTTCCGAATAGGTATAGCTACAGTTAAATGTATTTTACTTGTTAAATTTATATGCTGTGACTTTACTGAGTGTGATTATGTATTTGCTTTCTCATAGGGGCATCGTCTGCTTCAATTAAAAAATCCCTGGAGTCATTTGAGATGGAAAGTATGAACCGTAGTACTGGCAATAATTAGATTAGCAGCCACGAACTATTCACTCTGTACACACCTTTAGTTTCGTTGCGATAGACGGTTACAAGATTTGTGCGTGCCAGTATACAAACACTGTTTCAACTTTACAGTCGTCCCAACAATGCAGTCGCTCAATTTAGATTTTTGGTCGTCACTTCGAGTGAACACCCAAAACTACAACATAACAAGGAGAAGGAAAGACCAGGTCATGTGACCTCGAAGGGTGGGAAAACAAAAACAGGCTACCCAACCGTTACATAAACTCATATTCTTTGTTATTGAAACAACTGTCACATAATTTATAATCAATTTCCAAAGTTCAAGGATGGAGTCACTCAGTCTGGTATAATTTAGGCTTGGGTTAGTTTAATAAAATGGTTCCATGAAGGAGCCAATTAAATCTCTTGGCATCAGTAAAGGTAAGTTAGAAGTAGTCATTGCGGTTAACTTAGGTTGTCTGTTTACAGGGAAAATTTTCTGAATTAGATTCTACCAGCTGGACACCAGAACTTCAGCGAGCTCTAAACTATGACAGGAAGAGTGCTTTGCAGATTGACAATGGTAAAATACTTTTAGTGTGTGCTTATTGACTTTAATTGCCTGTGTGATGATCTGTGAAAGAATAAGTCGATATTAATTTGCTCCAATTACATTAAAGCTTGATTATTATCTCAGTTGATTCTTGGTTTTGGTTTGAATTTCTTGTTGGAATGTTGTTTTTGTCGTTGATGATGATGATGATGACGATGATGATGGTGATAATGATGACGACAAGTTATTTTCACGTGTGAAGACATCATGTTTTCGCGCGAAAGCTCACCTGGTATTTCATTGGTGGTTAAATAAAAATATAATAAAGACGATGGTGGTGGTGAGGAAGACTATGATAGAGATCGGAAAATTTTCTTGACCCGAGTGAAAGGTTATCCATTCTTCAAATTACATTTAATCTTTTTCTAGGTGTTTTCTGGATCAATTGGGAGAGCCTTATGCAATTTTTTGATGTGATTTACATGAACTGGAATCCCAAACTCTTCAAATACCGCTTCTCTCTTCACTCGTAAGTACAGCTTCTTTTCGCAGCTTATTTTTGACGGAACTTAGTTATGATGTGTTTTCAAGGATATGCGTTGAATGGTTAATTTAAAGATGACTTTCAACTTTTCTTCCTTTCTTTTACATACAAACCCGTGAGCAAATGCAAAAAGAGCTTGGGATGATAAAATGGAAATCGCGGTAGCTTGTTTCAGTCGTTTGTTTAGGGTTTGAGAATGAGGTGATTGGATTCAGTCACCTTGCCTTTCATTGCCTTAGTCATTTGTGATTTTTCATTACCGTTAGCACAATTTTAGCACGGCGTTGTTAAAACCAGAAGTTTTCAAGATGGAGTCGCGATGAAAAAAAAAAAGGGAAGCGTTTCAGAAGTATTGTATATAGGAATGGGTAAATTTGTTGTGTTTCAAAACTTAAATTGCACTTCTGTCTTCCTACAGGACGTGGACGGCTGCTGAAGGACCCAAGAAGGATGTCTACAACGTTGGTCAGTGCATTTTAAAACATCTTTATTTTTGCTTTGGTAAACTAATGCCGACAAACAAAACGTACAGATTCACTGCTGAATTTCTTTATTTCAGTTAGCAGCCAGGCATTGCGTTTATGAAGGTGCTGTGGTATGCAACTTTCCAATAGTAATTTGATTTTAATTAGGCTGGTTTTTACTAGGGAAGAATTCGTAGTCGGAGTCGTTATTAGGACCGTGGAAACAGGTTCCGCTATGATTCCGTTATGATCCAGTGAAAACAGATTCCGCTAAGTTACAGGAGCAGAAGTGGTAGAACTAAACCAAACACTTCTCGTGGGGACGAGAATTGTGATTTCTTCATTCTTGTGCCTCTGCGTACCGCTTGAACAATCTGCTTTTCGCTATAAAAAGGTCGTAAACGACGGACTCATAACTGCGGAATCGAAAGAATATTGATACGTTGGACAGAGCACAAAAACCGCAAGACATGCGCACTGTCGATACGTTGCGTTTTTTGCAACTCCCTCTCCGCCGAGCTCATGATTCCGCTTACCACTCCATATGGTTAATTTTTACTTAATGGTAAGCGCTCTTACGACTCTGACTCCAACTCCATCTCCTTTGTTACTGGTGAAAACCAGTCTGAAAAATGCATAATAATACGCATACTAATGGTGCACATGATTAACAGGTGACAATCCTCAGTACAAGTTGGAGTTGTTGTCCGCTGACCAAGACACTGTTGTTTGGATTCTTCTCACTCGACACATAACACAAAAGGTACATGCAATGTCGTGGTATACGATGTATTGTTATTTTAAAAGATTTTTTGTAACGCTTTTCGATCGTTTACCCGGGGGTTGGTAGTTTGTTAAATTGTGAAAAAAGTGATTTGCTCCTCTGACTCTCGAAAACCTTCTGATAGGATGACTTTGCAGAGAATAAGGAGTTTATAACAGTTCACGTGTACAAATCAGATGGCGGAAGAATATTTTACCCAGGTAACTGCGTTCATTACTCAGATTTCTGTCAGCTTTTTACTCCACCAGCTTTTAGATTTCAGTTCCCCTTCTTCTAAACTTGGGTGTCGTCTAATAGAAAGCACTTTCGAGCGTGTTTTTTTTGTTTGTTTGTTTGTTTTTGATGTTGCTGTTTTTTAATCGATCCTAGTTAGCAGACGTTTTTTAACCAATTTTCAAACGAGAAACAGGTCGAGCGCGAAGTCCACTGCAGGCTTTTGAAATGATAAATTTTAAGGCACGCGGACCTAACTTTCTTTGTACCTCCCTTGCTCTAGATAACCCGTTCTTGGAAGGTACAAAAATAAACAGTCCGTTCTATCTGGCCAAACTCAACGCACCTAAAGGAACAAAGCGATTCACGCTTGTTGTCTCTCAGTACGAGAAAACAAACACCATTCACTACACCCTCAAGGCAAGTACCTACATATCAAAAACTGTTTCAACGTTTCCTTCTATCTATCTATCTGTACTCTTAGTCCTTAGTGTAGTGTCTCAAATTTGAAAAAATTTATACCTCTTAAGTCAAAATGAAGAAAAATTACATATTCAAACATTACCCCCCCCCATTCCTTTGGGAAATCTGGCAGTGTTTTTCCCGCCTTCTGTCACGCCACTTTCCAACATGTTTTGCTGTATAATACATATATAATACATATATGTATAAGCTGTATAATACATGGTGATTTTTGTAGTGGGTTCTGTTAAATTTAAATGGATTTTTTGTTCAACTGCAGGTCTTTTCGTCAACTGAATTTCGTTTGTCCCCAGTTCCTATTCCATACACAGTTGAAAAGCAGGTTAGTGTATTGTCTAACTGGGTTGACTCGTGGCTGTGTGTATAGCGAAATTGTGATGCCAAACGCGCCTCCACTGACCAATGTTGCAACAGTAGGGTTTTCCAGTGAAACGAGTCTTCAAGGTGGTTGTAAAGTCAGTTGAACTTGGCCGTATCAGTATTACATCAAATTACATTCACTGAACATTAAATCCTTTGTATTTCTTTTTTTAATGGATCTTGAACATTGTTTAACGAAAAGTGGTTATTTAAACTGAGTTTGGTTATCTTGCTGACCAGGTCTCTTATTTGTTTGTATTGTAGGTAACAGGTGAATGGAAAGGCACCTTGGCCGGCGGATGTCCTAATTATTCATCACATTCCAATAACCCAGTGTATCGTCTACAGCTGCAGACATCTTCTAACGCAGAAACAGCTGAAGTTCTACTGAAACTACGTGGCCCCAAGTAAGTTTTGATTGCCAAGACACCGCGTTTCATCAAAAGAGGGCGAATTTTGAATGGCGCGTTTTAGCAAGACTGTTGCTTTAAGGGCTAGAGGCATTGTTTGGGGTTTTCATGTCAGTATTGTTTTGTTAGCTAATTAAACAGCTCGTTTTAGTTGAGATCTTCGTGACGGCCCTTCCCTCTGTCGAACTTTTTATTGTTTTACTGACATGATGAACCCACACGAACTGTTTGTATGTCACTTGCATTCGCCTCCTCATGACTGAACGTTGTCTTGTACTCTGCCAGGATTGATAGTAGAATATTTTATTCTCTTTTAGACAATTTTCTGTGGGCGTCATTATTCGTTCTGTTGACCGCGCGTCTGATGGAAAGCCTGTGTACGAGGCGTACTCTGATACGTACAGGTAAATTTAATACTGACCGTCACAGTTATCCAATGAGATGTGATTACAGTACGATACCCTCATTAAAAAGTCACGGTTACTGGTGTCTCAGTAAAGCCATAATGAAACTACTGGGCCACTTCGTGAGATAACAGTAGAAGGTCAAGAACTGACCTTACCGGCAGAAGAGAGCCCGCTGGATGTTTACTGACGAGTTGAACTCGTGGCTATCCCTATATATATAGCGGCCAGTTACCAGAGTCCCGGTAAAAAAGATTCTCCTTTCCCTGACGTCGGTTGCTTATAGAAACTGTACGGTAATTGTCAGGGCAAGGCTTGAACCCGGGTCCATCGGATTGCGAGTACAGTGCTCTGACGCCTCGCTCAGGCTACCCCCGATGGGAGGGGAAAGCGAGAAAAAACACGCACCGTTCGCATCCCTTCTTGTTCGATTTTTCCTCCTTTTCCAGGGGCACCCAATGGATCTGTTCCTCAAAATATCTGTTCTTCATGCAAATTTTTGCTGGCTGGGAGATGTGGAAGAAATAATAGTCCTTGGAAGGAAAGTGTTGCTGGGAAAAAGATAATTCAGGGTGTCAGAGGGGATTTGAAGTCTAGAATAGCTGCTACGGGTTACTTGTATGGGTTGCTTACCACTCAAGATCTGAATTGGGCCCTACGAAACTTCCCAGTAAGTCAGGGTGCAGGTTGTAAGGTTGCTGGCTGGGAACTCTTCCATCAGTCTTGCTGGGAGTGACGAACAGATAATTTTTTTCCAGCAATCTCCCAAAATGCTTAAAATAGTCTCAGAAAACTTTATTCACGCTTTGTTGTTGTTTTTAGGTCTTTTTCTCAAAATTTCCCGTTGGGTGCCCCTGCTTTTCCTTCGCTTTTGATTCCTCTTATAGGTTTGGCCAATGTCTTGGATCAGACCCATTCGTGTTCAAAGACATTCAATATAACGCGGCATTATTTATAACTATTTAATCTCAAGCACGAGAAGAGAAATTGTGTGGCCAAAGTGATATTTCCAAACATTGTTACAAATTTTCGTTAAATCTGATATATGTAGGTCCTTATTTGACATAGAACTGGTTTGTAATTTTATTTCCATTCATATCTCAAACGCATTGCGTTCGTTCTGTTTCAGGCCTGGCTTTTACGTACAACAGCTGACCAAAGTGCCCGCCGGAACATATGACTTGATTCCGTCAACATTTTACCCAGGACAAGAAGGGCCGTTCATACTAACGATAGCAGCGAGCTGTAGAATAGGACTTGGAAGAAAGTAGAAATGTTGCTGTGTTACACAAGTTAAGCAAATTCATCCCTTACGAACTGGTCACCAAATTGAGTGAACTATAAAAATAACTGTCGCTTTGAAAGTGTAAAGTCACTGTTAAATAATACGGGTGCAGGGGCGGATCTAGGGGGGAGGGTGCAGGGGGTGTGCCCCCCCCGAGATTACCTGCGGTTTTCTAATACAACTGGTATTCTGCCAAAAAAAACTATGTGGTTTATTGGTGCACCCCCTCCTAAAAAAAATCCTGGATCCGCCCCTGGGGTGAACAAACAAACTTTTGAAAACTGTTCAGCCGGCTACTTTTGTTTGAATTGTAAGGCGCAGGAGATATTTTTATGTCAGGAAGCAGTGATCTCGCCATTCAGAACTACAGTCAAAACCCCGCTTTACGGACAGCCACTTAATACAGACACGTCATTATTACGGATAGTCTGCTTCATCCCTTGGAAAAGAAAGCCCTAACATTGTCTCTGACACCACGTTAATACAGACACTTTCTATGGCCCCCTTAGTGTCTGTTTTACGGGGTTTGACTGTACTTCCTTTTCAAAGCAACTAAGTTGCAAAACTAAAGAAATACACTAAACTGCTTCGATCCATGCCCTTTAAGATTGTCAGTAGTACAGGCGTGGTTTCTTGGCTCGTGGATGAGTCGCAATGAAGAACAGAAAAGGGAAGTGAGGAGACTGGAAAATCGAATTGTGGGGTCGCTTTTGGGAACTAGTTTTGACCCAGTTTTCTACTCAAGCTCTTAATAGTTAATATAATGACAAAGACGGGGTAGCGTTCCCAAAGTAGCCCCACAGTACCATTCAAGTCCCACGCACGAAAAAACTAATAAAAGAACAAATATTTAAATTATGCAAATAATATTGGTGCTAATTTAAATTGAAAATAGAAAGCTACGTGCAACGTAGTTAAAAGTTAAACATTTACCTGTGTTTGGACGTTTTTTTGAGGTTCATTATTCGGTTGAATGAATTTTTTCAACAAGGGTGGTAAAAGTGATTTCATTTAAGTATAATTGATAAGAACAGCTTTCTATATATCCTAACCGAGAAAACGTTGGGCTTTAAGAAATCAAATGTTTAGAAAAGTTTTCTAACCGAGAAAATTAAAATGATAAAGATATTGTACTGAATTCTAGAAGCAATAAAATCTTTACTTGTAATTTGAATTTGGCGTTTTGATGCTTGAAGTATATGAAAATATTAACCTTAAGAACGCTTCTATTTTCGTACCCTTTCTTTTCTAACCGAGAAACTATAGTCTTATAACACTGTAGTAATAGCTAGAAATAAAATGTTCACTTGAAAGTCAAACTTGTCCATCTATATTGGGTGCATCTGCTCTACTGCAGGTCACAAAGAATCTAACGAACCGAGAGTAAATTTCCTGAGAGATGGTTGCCATGAATACTCCTATAATTTGCGATTTTTGCAAATCTTGGTAAATTTTGAGGTTTTAGTTTTTCTGTGCACTTTTCTGACCGCACTAACCAACCAATACACCTGCGCCCCTTAAAAATTTCCGTTCGAGGGATCCTGAAATACGATGTTGGATACTGATATGTCGCTGAAGCAGACGACAGACTAAAGCACTGATCAAAGCCAAGCGAAAAATTTTAATTGATTTTTTCTCCGAGCAAATCTGCTCATTTACAAATCAATGGTCGATTTGGCTCAGTAAATATTGTATTATTGTATTTACCATTTTAATCAATGGATTTGTCTGGGAACAGAAACACTTGTTGTAACTGTGTATCCAATCAATCTCAGTTGTCAATACGTTTGCACTCAAAACCAAATGTTGATTTTTCATTAATACAAATTCGTGAATTTTATCCTTGGATCTCAAAAAGCGGTAAGTAAAGTTAAGTATTTTATTTTTAGTGTGTAATTCACCAGATTTATTATTTTATCAAACTACGTACGGTATGGTAGACTAGCACGGTAGTCGAAAGCAGATTTTTGTGGGATTTCGTGTTGGCGGACGATTTTTAAGTTTTCAATATGGTGCGACTTTGTCACGATGAACGCTGCGTTTACGTATTGTAGCTAAAATCTCATAAAAACAGTAAGATGGTCATATTAGTTTTCATCTTATTTTCTCATTTTTTTTTTTAACTGACTTTTATTTCCGGCGTCTTCATCATCTGTTCACCTAACCGTTAAAGACTTCTTTCAATGAAACGCTCAATTTTCAGTTTGCGATTTCTTGAAACGAGCAAGTGAATCAGATAATATGAGTTTACTGTTTGGGTCAGATATTACACGAGAGTCAGCGATCATTGGCATATCAAAATGACATTCACTTCGCTGCATTTACAAATGAGCCCCGTTATTTAATTTCTGAAATTATGAGAAATATTTCCGTAGATTACTTTCACGGTTACATGCCAAGCTGTGGAGTGGGGTTGAAATATAACTGACTTCACTAGCTTTTTTGAGCCTTAAGTAAGTCTCTATCAATTTCACAAAACAGAATATCTTAAACGTGAGACCTAGAAGTCCCTGGATAAATTTGTTTTTAAGGCCGTAGTGGCGTTGACTGATCTGAATAAAGCGCATGAACCCAGCCACTGGACAAGTATGAGGCAAGAAGGAGACGGGACTCTGGGAGAGTCGAACAGCCGAGGAGGCGTGTGAGCAAAGCACTGAGCCCCACCGCGAGAGTTGTGTGCTATCCACTCAGCCTACCCCTGTTAGTTTCCTGCCCTTCCTCACTCCTCTTTTCCTAAGACTTTCTGCTCTTTCCTTACGGATAACCCATGTTCTTAGCAGGTGTCATTGACATCAATGAGAATGTGACGGAAATAACAATACTTACCTGTTATTTGACCAAACAAATGTTACACTAAGCTAATGCTTTAAAATCCTGACACCAATACTCACCAAAATTCGACACATATACTATGTATTTTGAAACATCTGTGCATGAAATGTGACCGATGTTAAATTTCAGTAATTCTAGGGCATAGTCTTCCGCATTGAAACGAAACACTTTTTTATGATATTCCAGGGGAATTGCTGCTAAAGTGAGATGAGCAGAAAACAACTTCTCGCCCTGTGTTTCATCTTTACAGAGTTCAACTTAGGTAGGTATAGTTACAATTGATAAACATTGGTTCAGGAGCCGAATACTCCCTGCTATTAAACATTGCTGTCAACTCTCCCGGTCTCCAGATTAGAGTCTGATATCTCCCGGATAATCGCCAAAGTTGCTATTTCTGTAGACTCGACTTTCCGACCATAAAATTTCAAACATTTTGCGTTGTTTGCGCTACTGTTAACATGGATCGTTTCCTCATAAATTCTGATATGCAACAGTAATTTAAACAATAATGTGGCTAAATATGAACTGTTTATGTGCTATATACGTCAATCGGAATCAACGAGCATTTTTGGCAGAAATGAGGTCATTTCTCGTGCGATATGACGTCATCTATCATTCCTTCCCTATCAAATCTCAATGACGTAGGAGGGTTGACAGCCCTGGGCTAATTGGCCACTCCAGAAAATACCATAACATACCATAATGCTTTTTGATTGTCGCCCCAAAGTTTTGCATAAGCATTGTCTTCAGTTTCTCTTGGGAGTTAAAATGGCCCCAAGAGAAACTGAAAACAATGCTTATGCAAAATTTTGGGGTGACAAACAAAGAACATTATGGTATGTTATGGTATTTCTGGAGTGGTCAATACCTTTGATCATCATTCGTTGCTGACAGTATTTGTTGTAAATTCGCTAGATAATTTGGAAAAAAACATAACCAAATTGTGTACTTAACGTGTACATGTTTATTTCCTATCAAAATAAATCACTTTAATTGTTTGTTTGTTTTTTATCAATGTCATTTTAATTAGTTTCTATTTTCGTACAGTTTGAGTTTATAAATATTTTAATCTAGTTTTCATTGTTCAAAGTTCAATACCCACCAAGTCGGTCCACTAACAAATTATTGCCAGTTCATTAAATTCAAACTTTTAGTCATGACGGTTCTTTTTAGTTTCTTTATTTTTCTTTTATGCCCTGAAAATGGTTTGTGTTTGCAAACTGTGAAACATCGGACAAGTTTGCTCGGATATATTGCAGTTTGATTCTTACCAATTTTGTTTACTTTGTCATGTTTCGCCACTTTAGACACGAGCAGCGAACAGTACCCGATATGTGTCCCGCGACTGTTTTAAATCTGGGATTGTTACTGGGGACATGCCAGTCAGCTAATGGCCAAATTTTTTCCCCTGTCCCTAAAAACAATCCCGGGAGTCTTTGCGAAAGTTATTTCGGCCCAGTTGCCTTCTCCTTCTAAAGAGGTGAATTGCTGGATAGGTATCTTGCTTTTCCTGATCACCGGTCCACGTGTAGGCTTTGATAGAGTGTGCTCGCAAAAGTAACAGTATTCATATATTTAAAAAATTACACCAATAATTATGCTAAGTTTTATAAATGATTCCCAGTTTAGCCAAAAATGCAGAAATTATGCTTCTACTTTTCACTTTTATTTGTGTAAAACATCTCAATAACTTTGGCAAGAAAAAAAGTGAATGGCAAACACCTTTACCCTTATTTCATCAAGAAACTTTAAGAGTGCACTGTAATAACAGCAGGAGGGCGCCATCTTAGGTAAACGAGCATGCATACCGTCAAGCCCGTGAGTTGGGTTTTGTGGAAAGAGGTCACTACCTGGCTTTCATGTGGGACCACCGTCCAATGTGACAATAAGCAGATGAAAATTAATTTTGTTACTTACATTTATCTGTAACACTGATATCGGGCTGAACAAAATTAGTTACACGACCAAAAAAATTACAATTTTGTGCTTCAAAACTTGCCAAAAAGTGCATATTATGCTGGCAGTTATGCTCGTAGTGACAAATAATGCAAACAATTATGCTAGCACAATCTATCAAAACCTATCTACATGAGATTTAGATCCAGAACCGCTCAACTGTTTGCATTGTCGCTGTAGTCTTGCAGCTCTTAAAGC